GGGGGGTGTCACGCTCTCTTTGATGCACTGAATAAAATGAGTAAATGACTTCAGGGGACAATGGAACATTTAAGGAAAACTTAGTGCTTTAATGGAAAAAGGGACATGCTGGGGATATAGTTCTGTGAAAGGCTCTACTGATATTTTCAAACAGCAACAATTACAGAGAAATTCATTTCACTAAACAAAGCCATACCCAAGAGGAGGCATTTTGACATTTCAGGCACAACTCCAAGCAGTTAAGCTCATTTAAAGTGCAAATCTGATATATTCTCTCATATTCAGATTTTTACTTGTTAAAATACTTAGTAAGTTCCCTAATATCTATATAAATACAATGAACAGTAGTCTTAAATGCCTGGAATATTGCACAAATGAAAATGAGACTCCAAAAGAAAAATGCTAGATGGTCTGTTATTAGAAACACTCTAAATGATGTAACTCTGTAATCCTTTGTTTACTGCCTTAAAATATTCCTTACCTATACTTATAAACTCCTTCGGCCAAGCCTTCTTTAAAAAAATTTATGTGCATCCTATTAATAACCTAATACATGACTCTGCATATTAATTTTTTTCTTTCATAAATGGGAAGCTTAACCAACCCCTGCATAACTTCTTCCTTGAGACTTTGAATTTACATATTTCAAGTGTCTTTACTGATCCCACAATAACTAAGAGAATTAGTGATCTAAGCTTTTGTAGGGGGAAGGCTTGGCACAGAGCTGATCTACAGAAGCAGTGAAGAGAGAGCAAGCCGAATCTGAGAAGCTGAGCTCTGATTATTCAGCAAAGCGATGCGCTCACTTCCATTTCTGACTTAACATTCACTAACCTACCAGCATGGCATTGCATCTTTAAAAAAAACTGCAGAATACTTTGTTACTTGTATAAGCACTGCAGGCTTTTTTTTCCTTAAATATGCTTTGTAATTATATTGACAACCCTATCTTCTGCCAAGAGTAAGGCTTACCAAAGGTACAGAGCAGCTGAACCATCCATGAGTTACATTTCTACAAATCCATCAGAGAGAATGAAAACAGCACAAAAGAATAAATTACTGGAGTCAATACTTTTATGTTACAGTCAATAAAGACATTTCATTTAGACGGGGGGGGGGAGGGGGGTTTAAAAATAAAAATGTAGAAAGTTTTCCCTAAGGATAAGGCCAACTTGTACATAATACTTCATAAGGGTCTATACCAAACCTCTAAACAAACCAGAAGCCTACTATGTAATTCATTACTATGTTTTACTTTATGGAAGTAAGACAGCACCCTATTTGCAATGCATGAAATCAGTTTTCTCTCACTTTCAAAACAAAAGACCACAGGTATCCACCTTCATAGCTGTGGTCATCTAGGCTCAGCTCCATGAACAAAGCAGAGCTCTGCCAACCAGTGTGGTGACCCTACACTAACGGTATCTGGACTAGGCAGAGGGGTTTCTGACATTAACACAGAAAATCTGAAATACTGAGACAAATGCTGTGGTGTGAGTATACTATGCTAGATGCACGCTGCTCACCTAGTACCAAGTCTAAGAAAAGGTTCGGGGCAACTCCAGGGCGTGGCCCCCAGGAGTGAAGCCTGCATCAGAATGGGAGCAAACATTGCTTTGGGAATTCCCTCTCAAGCTCTTGCTATTTTTCTCTTAAAAGACAGCAGATAATATTAGTAATGCACATTTCTTAAAGGAATCCTTAGAAATTCAAGTGATTTTTTTGGCCATAATTCCTTTTGATATATTTTTGGTTAACTGATCAAAGCATAAATTGATCTTCTAAGGTATTTTGTCTAAAAATATTAATTCCAATTCAATTAGCTTTGGATGAGCAGCCTGAAGATGACATGATCTCAGAAAGCAGAAGGCAAATTTACTCAGCTGTCCAACAAGTGCCCCACAGCAAGACAGGGTTCATACATGTGATCGCTGGGAGGTTCCACAGCTACCTAGGGTAGCACATTGAAACAAACAAGCATATTTCTTTAGAAATATCTCTTAATGAAACCATTTCCCAAGTGCAGTCCTATTTTCCTTCCCAGATCTACTTTTCAAGGAACTGTCACTCAGATATGCACCAACTGAGAAAAGCAACCTAGGAAACTCAGAAAAACAAAACTATTATGAATTCTTTCTCAAGAGAGTCTTAAAGTGTAATTCTTTTCAAAATATTTTAACTTATTTTGCTATACAAAATAAGCTTTAAGTCCCTATGTGTGAGATACTTATATCCCAGCAAAGTTTTGTGCAAATATTTCAAGTCCATTATTCCAGTCTTCCGATTTTAGCAGTCAATAAATATAAATATTACAATACAGACAATTTAAAATATATGCTGTGGAACCTTATCAGCTATGATGGGTAAGTCTACAGGGTTCGAAACTGAACTGCCAGCAAAACTCTAGCACTAACACATGTTACAAACAGATACACCGTTGTTAATGGGTTTCACGGTGTATCGAAAGATCTCCACATCTACCCAGTACCAATACAAGCACAATGCTAATGTGTGTATGAGAAACAAGACATTAAAGAAAGTATAATTGGTTTATATACAATATTGAATATTTTCAGCCTGGGAAATCCATCTGTAAATGAATAAACTAGTAACATCTGCTGATCTCAGTAAAGAAAAATAAAACTTACATAGACTTCCCATTAAAAGCCTGATCTCCTTTATTCGTCACAAAGCTTTTGCATAGACCTTTTAAATATACAAAACACTGGCCAGAGCTCTGCTGACAGATGACCATCTTCCATTACTACCACATCTTTAGTTAAATGGCAGCCACAGTCCCAGGGAAACATGTGAAAGGGGCGGTTTCCCATAAGCGCAGTAACGCAGACCACAAGAGGACTGAATCAGCAAAGCACACTTCTCGCCTGCTCAGTGGATTACGACTTTCACGATGTGCAGGGGAATGGACAGCATGATTAGAGACATGAAGGCCTCTGAGATGGACAAGCAAACTTCTGTGTTTACCTGAGACAAGTATGCTCCCATGGTACGTACTTCAACCAGGACAAAAAATGGAAGAGCCGAACTAGTGGAAACTTCCACATTTTAATTTCCAGATTTGCAGGCTTTCAACAGAACCTCTAACATGGTAGCAAACATATAGCACATAAAGCTATTACAGAACAGACTTTTAAAGAAAAGCAAATTGGCAGGCGATGGCTATGTACTTAATGTATCTTTGGTTTAGGAAGACGCGAACACCGATTAGAGGCCAAACAATCCCCAGAATGCAAATGGCCATTTGGATTCTGCATGATTTCTTTTTGTCGTGCTAGTGGCCTTGGGATGCTTGTTTTGGCCTGTAAGTTTTGAGGCTCTGGTCGAGGGCTGGGGTTACCTACTTGTTTTTGTTTGAAAGAGGTGGAAGGGAGGCGGAGCTTAGATGCTTTCAAATTCAGATTTGTTACGCTTGCTTGACCAGATGTTGGTTGAAGTTTTGGTGAATTACATGGTGTGACTATCAGTGACTTCTTAGAAGCAGGAGTATTACTTGGAGATGATTCAGAATCTGGAGGAGATGCCAAAGAACTCAAGATGGATGACTTTAAAAGCTGCAAGGACTTGGGCTGGGATGGGCAGCCCACCCACAGAGATTGATGTCTTCCAATCCCCGAAGCTTGGTCCTCTGTGCTTGACTGGGCAGGTGTCTGAAGAGAAGGTACAAACTGCGTATCATTGCTTTGATTCTTTTCCAAGTGGGAAGGCTCTGGGGCATTCATGGCCATGTTCAAGTTCACTTCACAAGGTGTACTCTTAGCCACGTCCACTGCAAACTGTGGGCGGGAGGGGAAAGGCCAGTCTTCCAAACCACTGCTGTTTTCCTGTTGCGAGCTGCGCGAACAGCTTCCATCTGGATGCGCACTGTCCTGACGCAGACCTTGGGCCGCGCACTCACTGCGGGCCTCGGTGTGTGGTGGCTTTGTTAGTTTTCCCTGGGCGTGGTCTGTGGGTCTGGGAAGGCTGCTGGAAGGCTGTAGTACTTGAGGCTGTTAAAATTTAAAAACTGACATTAGGAACAATTTCCGTTAGTGATGGCACCCAGAAGTAACATAAGTAAAGTTTCATACAGGATCTGCTGGCACTTACTATGTTTTAATATGGAACATATGCGTTTCCCAAAAGTAAAAAGTGAACTGCAATATTCAAGCCCATTCACGAGACACGTAAGAGTGGTAATGCAAACAAAAAATGACACAGGCAGTAAACACTGAACAAGCCCAAAACTGAACAGCGGAAAAGAAAACCCTGAAGTACTTAAAGTGCTGACTAAGTATAGAAAAACATTCCTGCCAGAACAGATTCATCAAATATTTACAACCTTACCTACAGGAGACAGAAGTTCTGTAGCACTCTCACATTTAACTGTGATCCTCAGAATATTACCCATTTTAAAGTATTTTTAAAAATAAAGTTGAGCACTATGTTTTAACATGCTGTACCTTTGTACAAAATTAAAATTACAGCAGATATACAAGATTTAAAATAATAGTATGCTGTCAGCTTCTGTAAAATTCCAATTATTCAAACAAAAAAGGTCAATATACTTTGCTAAAGCTAGCCTGCCTTTAATATTCCTGTCGAAAAATTTCAGAATAAAATGTTTGCAAAGCTCATTGTTCTGTCTCATTGTCCTTTTGGCTGGTATATGGAAAACATACCTACCATACCCAGAAGTAAACACCCATTTGGTAAAATTAAAAACGACCAGATGTGGGGCTACAGTTTGATGACAGCTTGCCCACCATGCACAAAGCCTTACATTTCTTCCACAGCACCACCGAAAACACACAAACAAATCTTGAGCCTTTTAAATGATGTCTGAGCGCATAACAAAAATGAAATCACCTCTGACTGGAAATAAAGCACCAAAACCTACACCAGCAAAGTTCTCAAAGCCAATGAACCTCCTAAGTACTTCTCAGCATCTCACTATGTGATTGTTCTCTACAAAATTCACAGAAAACATGCATTTCCCATCAGTAATTTTCCAATGGCCCAAGTGGCTGAATCAAAAGAGCAGGGCCTACCAGGCATGTCTTGATACAGGGGTGGGAAGCTACAGATGTCTAATCATTACCTCTCTCTTACACACAATTTTTATTAAAATAATGGTTAAAACATCAAGAGTTTAGAAAAAGGCTTTGAAAATGTGAACTTCAAAGGATAATTTATCACTATTACAGTAACTTTTTACTTTGCAAACCCGCAGATCTACACAGCAGCTCTTATTTCTCCAACAGAAGGGGGACCTACTTTATCGCAGCATTTCCATTCTTCCCCCTTAACACCCTTCTGAGTAGCCTTAGGCAATGGCTGTCAGGGCCAGCAGTCAGGGGCTAGACCAGGGCATGGCTGAGAGCTGCTGGGCACAGACTCAAGACTTGGGAAGCGCAGCTGACCACCACAGCACAGACTTACTTTAAAAATACAGGCTTGCTACTTAAAAAAAAAAAAAAAAAACAAAATCAAGACAACTACTCAAAATTAATCCCTACCTACAATGGTATATTAAATCATACTGCAAAATATTTAAAATAAACAAGGTCAGTAGGGTATGGTGGCAAACACCTATAATCCCAGCACGTGGAAGGAAGGGTGAATTAGGGGGATGGTCACAAATTCAAGACCAGCCTGGGTTACACAGTGAGTTCAAGGCCAGCCTGAACTACACAGTGAGACCCTGTCTTAAAAAAAAAAAAAAAAAAAAAGCAAGCCAACTCAGTTGCTGCCTAATGCTAAATGCCCCAGATTTTTGTTTTGTTTTGTTTTGGGGCTTTTTTTCGTCTTTTTTATCTCTTTTTTGTTGTTGTTGTTGTTGTATTTTTTTCCAGTACTGGGAATCAAACTCACAACCTTGTGCTTGCCAGGCAGGTGCTGCGTCGCTGAGCTAAATCCTCAGCCCTTTTTTGGTCTTTTTTGAGACAGGGTCTCGCTATGCAATTCAGGCTGGTCTTGAGCTCACTTTGTAGCCCAGACTGGCCTCGAACTTGCAAGGATCCTCCTGCCTCAGCCTCCCCAGTTCTGGGATTACAGGTGTGCACCACCATTCCTGGCTTGCTCCAGACTTTAAAGACGCAGGCCTTGCGGCTGGGGATTTAGCTCAGCGGCACAGTGCCTGCCTGGCAAGTGCAAGGTTGTGAGTTCAATTCCTGGTACCGGAAAAACAAACAAACAAAAAGACACAAGGCTTTTCACACTCAACTGTGTCAGCATGGAAATACTAAAATCATCAATAGTTAATTCCACAGATTCTCTTTGGAGTTCCCTAGGAAAAAATGACCAAGTCAAAGTGATCATATCCTACAATTAATGGAAAAATAGAATGGGACCAACGGGGTGGGGGGAAAAAAGGAAGCGGGGAGGAGAAAGGAGCAGTATGAAGTGTTTCATTATACAGGGATTTGTTTTCTCTGTTCATTTTCAAACACAGTAGGGAACTCTTGTCTCAAGTTAAAAATCTTAACACAATTTGAGAACTCTGAAAATAGTGACAATTTAAAAAATGACTTTCTGGTAATGTGCCTATTGTCAGTACCAACAAAAAGATCAAAACATGCTATCCACTCAAAGGGTTAAGAGGCATAATTTTCAGGTAAGATAAAGTAATAAACTGACCAAGATAACCACACTTCCAGAAAAGGCTCACAGTAGATAAATCATCCATCTGCACTGTTCTGATCACTCATATCATCCGCTGACCACTTCCCCTCAGAGCAATCAGTGGAAACACTGTGGAGAATCAGGAAGAGCTGCTTGTGTTTCATGTGGGAGAGTTCCATTGCAAATATTAAAGAATTAGGAGACCAGGTTTTCAAAAATAACAGAATGTTGACATTTTTACCTAAGAGGTGTCAGAGTGAACAGATACACAAATTAGAAAGTCTAAATTAGTATCTAAATATTCAGTGATTTCCATATGTTAAATAATATTTATATTTTCATTAAAAATTAATATTAGTGGTATGATATAATTTACCTATCCTAAAATAAATGTCATGCTAAATTATTGAAAACCATAGTTTAGGAAATCAATTCCACTATTGTGAACAAAAATATCTCTTTCAAGAAGAATAGGGACAGCTGGGCATGGCAGCAAACTTGGGACTGAGGCAGGAGACCTGAGAGTTAGAGACCAGTGAGGACTACAAAGTGAGTTTAAAGGCCAGCCTGAACTACATCATGAGACTCTGTGTGAAAACACCCAAGTAAAAAGAGAATGACAATTTGAGGACCAAGGAGATGGCTTGCTCCTTATATGTGGCAGGCTACATGGAAGAGGCTGCACACCAAGGACTGGATTGTTAATAATGTCCTCTTGGCAACGGGCACAGAAGCTACCCTTAACTCTAGCAAGGTGTTTGATGCCTTGTTGCTTACACTGCAATGTCCCCAAATCTACATGCTACATAAAGGCAAGATGCTAACCACTCATCTTGCTCACATCTACGACTACCTCTGTGGCCATAAAAGACGCCCTCACACATCTTTAGAATGAATTTAAATACAAAGATCCCATAACCTCATGGATAATAAGACATGGGAAGAATATCAAAGACTATTCATTTTTAAAATATCTGTTATGCACTATGAATTGGAAAAACCTAGAGCTGAACATGACACTGTGCCTGGACTCCATGGGCCTGCTGAAGAGATGGTCAGGTAAACAGATGATAAGACTGCATCCCAAGCACAACAACATTTGGGAACAAAAAGAAAATATAAGCCTGAGTGGAAAGGTCACAGCAGGTATCCCAAATTTGATTCAGTCTGCACTGTTTTAAAGGGTCAGTAGGAGCTTAACAAGTAGACAAGAAAGGGAAAACACTCTGGGTAGCAGGCCAGTACATACGAAGCAGAAGCAGAAAAAGCATGTGGTATGTTCCCATCATTTCAAACTGTCAGAATGAATGTGGAGAGAATACTTGGTGGGAAAGCGTGTAGGCAAAGACCGCTCCTAAGGGGTGATGCCAGGCTGAGCAGTTCTGAGTTTCGTGCCATATATGACAGCAGGCACTAGGGCACAGGAAGCAAAAATCATTAAGACCCACTGTGTGTTTCCAAAGGATCACTGGTAAAGTCATTCAGTAATGTAACTAGATGGCAGGAGATTATCAGTCAAACAACTAGGTACTGGGGCTACTGCCAACAACCTGAATGAATAATTTTACAGGTTTAAAATTAGGAAACTGGTGAAAACCTGGAGAGGCCTGAAAGAGATCTGAAGGTGTGACAGGCAAGATGAGGCAGCATTCCATATCCAGGGGAGATCTCTGGGTAAAGTCAAAGTCCCTTTGCTTCACAGGCTCAGCAGTCCATAAGACCCAGAGGTGAAAAAGACTCCCACTCTGAGGGGTACCTCAGGAAACTCCCTGGAGCCATTGAGTAGAGTGTCACCTGGTCATCCTTCCAACCTGTGCAGGGCTACTTAGTGAGGCTTGGAAATAGAGACCAGGCCCAGAGTTAAAAAGCTAAGCACCTCTAAATGGATTCAGCAACTTCAAAGCTTGTATTATTTAGATACGTTAACCTCAACACATTATTCAGAGACTTCTCGGATTAGATGACTGCATGTGATAAGGTCAGGGGTGTCAGCAATTACCATTCAGCTACTCTGAGGCTTGGCAGGCACCTTTAACAACCATCTCACACGCCCACTTTGGATGGTGTACCAAGGTAAGCAGACACTGTGAGCCCCTGGCGGGTGCTGACCATGCTTTACTCTTTCTGTGTTGTAGTCAGTACTCCTAGTAGTTAGGACAGAGCGGGAATACTTGCTAGAAAAATGAATGAGTGAATGAATATTAGCTGTATATTTAAAAACTTTCTCTGGCCACAAATTATCACAGTAATATTTTCCTAATGGGCAATAAGAGAGCATTAATGATTAAATCAAAACCAGTTTTTGAAAAACTGATGGGAAAAGAAATCAGAGGGAAAAAATTTTTTCTAGTAAGTTTGGACTTAATTCACGTTTGGAAGGATGGCAAGGAAGGCTTGAATACATGTTAACTTGGGCACAAATCTCATAATGCCCTACAGCTTAGACACCAAGCGTTTTCTTCCTGAAGACTCAGCATCTCTGAATTAGCAGGCTGGGAGAACTATCTCAAGAAGCATTCAGCTATTTTCTGATTCTAAACCTAACAATTAAATATGATTATACATATACAACATGTAGAATACATACAGCATATAGTAAACATTTGGTAAATGTCACCTATCATTACTAAAAGGTTGAATTTAGTCCATGGCTCTTTTGCAAATGGATCTTAAGGGTGAAGAGATCTTTAGCTGCACAACAAACTAGCTGCTATATGATAGCAAGTTTCTATGTAACAGGAAGTTTCTGCTGTATAATATGAGGTCTCCTTCCTAGGTGAGCTCATCTCCACAGAACAACTCTTAGATAACAAACTCAAGCCATACTAAGGAGCAGTATTTCTGGTAAGAGCTGGCTCCCCCTGACCTACTGGAGGATCAAGGAAAGGCAACTTCTCACTCACAACTGAGAAGAAATCTTCACCTTTCCTGTCTCATACCCCCCCGAAGATCCCTAGCATCACCTGAAGGAAACGCACTCATGCCAGGTTTTGTAAGCACTGTTGTTCTTGGGTCACTAGCAAAAAGATGGCTGATAAAATAATGTCAGGTCCTGACCGGTAAAAATACAGCACAGTGTACAAAGCAGGAAGTAAAAGTATAAAACTGCTCCTGCAGAAAACACACAGGAACTGGCTAAAATTATCTTCTGGGTACATACAAATATAGGTTATTAAATATATTTTACTAGTTAAAACGAAGATGGGAATGGAACCATCTGCAACATGCCCATAATCTCATGCAGGCTCTGACATGCATCATGCAAAGTGGTAAAAGAAAAACCAAAAAAAGTATGAGGAAGGTGGTAGGAAAAAAGTCCAAAATTGTACTGTACCACGCTTTGTCAGAGAAGTAATGGACTAACTTCTCAACTCCTTGCCAATGGCACAATGGGAGAGCGGAGACAAGAAAAAGACAGGACAACAGTATCAGAGACCACACACAACAGCAAGGGCGCAGCAACTGGGCAGCAGCCAGAAGTACTATCGTTGTGTTTCCTAGGTATTATTCATTATTTTCCATAATATGTATATAATGAAACATTTTTAATAGGTTTCTCAATAAAGTGGTTTTAAATCAGTGTAAATATTTAAGCCCATAGAAAAGTACATGTAAGACTTCTCACACTTGGAAGGAATTACTTGAATCTTACTAACTTTGAAAAGAATTTTGATATAATTTAATATTCATACTCCAAAGACTTAAAAAGGTTTGGCACCTTGTAATCCTTTACAAAGAAAATAAAAATTATTTTAGAAATAATTTTAAAGCTTCTTGCATATTACAGAAGGTGATAAATTTCAGCATTTGTTAGTTTACTTTGATTACTACTACTGCATTAAAGACTATTAAACATATTGAATACAATGTTACAGACTGTATGTGAGGCTTTACATTACTATGAAGAGGGAAGACTTACTTAGGTTCTTAGTATAACCAGATTCTAAGACTTTTTCCCAGAAGTTCACGAGTTGCCAATCAGTTTCCAGTATTTTTTAGAAACCAGGAATGCTCTTATTCCTCTAGATCTCTGGAAACTTACAGAGAATAACTGATTGACAAGTGTAAGGAACTTCTAAATTCAGAAATAAGGAGTTCAGTGCCTTAGTTGATTATCAGGTAGCTGCTTCTACAAATTATCACCATGATTAAGAGTGACTTAAGTATTTACAACACAGGCAAATCAGTTTCACATGACTAAGTGCATGGGTCCATATGTTAAAGATACAGAGTAGTTCAGGAAAAAAAGTGACATCACAACAGTACCAGTCCCTCAGTGTAACCAACATGCATGGTCAATTTATCCAGAAGAAGATATCACTGCAAGAACTGTCACAGCAACCAATCCTGGCTGAAGAAGAAATCCCATAATCTCACTGTTACGAAAAGCTTTATATAGAGAACACTAATTCTGTGTCTCCGATAACTGCAGATGTGGAGAGAAAGAGCCCACATGTAGGTTTATGGGAAGGCCTATTAGACCATGAGTTAGGTGCACATTTCCAGTCAATTAACCAGCAATTGTAGCAAGTAACATTTGAAATTAGCTGCAAAAATGCACACAGTACCACATTCTATGTTAACCACACTTAAATAAAAAACTACCATACTGTAAAATGACTTCCATTTAGTTTTTATCAAGTTATCCTAGTTTCCAGTTCATTAAAAAAATATTTTATTTTTATGAAAAGTCACTCTCAGAGCTAATTTCTCATTAAAACAGTAAGACTGAAGTTATCTCTTACATATAAAATCAGTTACAGTCACATGGTGGAGTCAATCAGATTGAGCCATGTAAATTTTGATGATTTGAGCAGTGGCTCTAGAAAGTGTACCTCCCTTTAAATAATGCCCTTCTACAAGTCTACCCAAGAAAAGCTGCCAACACTGATTTAACACAAGGGAAACTGCATCTCTGAAACTAGAAATACCATCATTGTCAAGCAACATTCAGTCAGATGCACCCACGTGGTAACACGCTACCATCCAGCTGTAAGGCAGTGACTCTAAGAAGCATTTACTATGTGAGAAACGCGTGGGCAAAAAACTATGTGGAAAAAGCAAAGCAAAGAAACTGAAAATATGTAAAATTTTAAAAATCAGAAGAAAATAAAATTTGCTCTTTAATTCTTCCCAAATGAGCCACTAAACTATATTACAAATAGAGAAAATGTAACTTCTAAAAAAAGGGTCACAGTACTTCATCTACAATAAACACAGAATACAGACTCTGGACTCTAAATGTCACTGATTTGGTCACTCACCCTGATTTATTTATTTACATTTTCCTTATAAAACCTACATAATAATAACTCTGACTTTGAAAGAGTTACTGTGCAGATTGGGTGATGATTTAAAAACAATGCCTAGAAAAGCACTTAAGATATTAAAAACCATTGTAAGCACAGTACTGAATTAATATTAGTTCTTTCTCCCCTTTCTTAAATATATGGCTAAAGTTTAAAAATGACACATAAAATTTTCTATGTGAATAATTTGTAAAAATGCACCACTTAAATATTCTTAGACTAATCAGAGGATAGCAGTCCAGAGCAAACGATTCTCCAGCTAAAAGGACTGAAAGAACAAGGGAAGCCAGCGGGCAGGGCTGGGACATAGGCCGGCACCCTGGGGGCACTCCAGGGGGCATTCAGGACTCCGCTGGGCTGGATGCACAGGGGCCAGCTAGTTCTTGCACTGGGTTCACCAGATGCTTAAGCTGCTCTTTTTCTTTCCTTGCTTCTTTTTTTTGGACAGCACAGTGCTGCTTATTTTGTTAAAGATTTTTTTTTATTAGAACATAACAGTCACCTTTCTTGCGGAGAGTTGGTGCACAGACATAACGCATCTCAGTCCTTTCTTTTATCCTCTTCCCCTCCCTTCTAGCTCTTGGTCTCCTTCCCATATGCTCAAGATCTATTGTGCTATTTCCTATTATCCTTTACTTTATTCTTTACACTGTGGGCTTCTCATATACACAAAATAATGCAATATTTAAGCCCATGTGTCTGATTTATGTCACGTAACAGTATGGTTTCAAGGTGCATCTGTTTACCTATAAATTTATTTATCAAGTTTTTTTCCTTCGTTATGGTACAGTAGTATTCCATTGTGTGTAGATATCACATTTTCTTTATCCACTCCACTGTTTGGATAGACACACCAACTGCTTCCAAGATTTGGCTGTTGTGCTATGAACATGGGTGTGCATATATCTCTATTATGTTTTTAGCTCTTCCAGGAAGATACCTAGAAAGGGAATAACTGGGACAAATGGAATTTCTTTAGTTTTTTGAACCATTCTATTTCCTAACATTAAAATATTTGTCCGGGCATAGACTTAATCCTTAGGAGGCACCACTTGGAAATAATAAGGCTATTTCTGGAGGAAAAGAAGTTTTACTATGATTATATATGGAAAATCTATGCATATTACATTATCTAAGCTTCTTAGCCTTCATGTTTAAAGCTGGTGCACTAAAGCATAAATGTTCAGACTTCTATGGGTGGACAAAACAGACTGGTGTTTTTCTCACTGCAAGATACCCACAACAATTTTAAAAACTCAAACAGAATATACAGAAGAAAGTAAAATACAAGAGTATTATAATATGTCTGAAGAGAAAGTGATGCCTCATGAATATTTTACCTGAATTTTAAATGTATACACACCTGTATTGGTCTGTAAATACATACTTTCATTCAACAAATACACAATGAGCTGTGCTATAAAATGAATTTACACTCATTTTGTAAAAATGGTTGTCAAACTGGTCTGTGAAAATACCCCCTGAAGGTTATAAGAGGAAGAGGGTATTAGACAATATAAATCTGTGACTCTTAATGTAATTCTGGTGAATATAATTCCTATTACAATGCTTTAAAATAAGTAGATATTATTTCAAAATAGGCTTTGTAAAACAAGTACTATTCCTATAAGCATATGTTCTGGCAAGAAATGCTATTTGGGACTACTATTAAGGTAGTCTACTCATCGCAAAGGATTATTTTATTACATTTTCCTATGAGTTCAGTTATCCTTCCCAATTTTAAAGTTGGAAACCAGAGTACAAAGACAACACCAATGCTGGGTAAATAAACTTGAAGAAAAGGTAAGGTCTTTGGTGACAGCAGCAAAGAGTTAAATATGCCTAAATGGAGACTGTTTTCTGCTAACCAAGCAAAAACAATTTGAAATCAGTAGATAAACATGAAATACGTACTAATAAGCTGAAAAGAAATTTCTAGGGGACTTTGGGGGATTAAAAACCAGAACCTTCCATTTATCTCCATTTTCCTAGAGTTATTTTTAGATTCAACAAGAACAATCCTGGCCAGTAGCACTTCTCCAACGTGAGTGGAGATAAATACTTCTTATAAATAAATGTTAATTATTTCACTAGCTGCACATTCAGAAAAGGCTATCTTTCAACACAGAATGTCAACTGCTCCTTTTGGTATGCTTGTAATTCCATTCATGTTGGGGAATTATACACACACACTGCATCATAATCAAAAGTATTCAAGTGAAAAAACTAGTGGAATGTTTCTGAGAAACATGTTTTAAAAAGTAAACCTAAAGCTCTATTTGCAATATAGAAAATTAACTCTACACTTCAATTCCATATTCCGTTTTAGCTGAGGAGAAGGAAAAAGGAGGTAATGGGGGAATCTGGGTAGGGGAAAAAGAAGAGGAATAAAAAAGGGCTTTGGGAAGTACAAAGGTTGGTGAGTTAATCTGAGGTAAATCTCTCAAACCAGGCTGGTGGGCAGCTACAATTTAAGAATGTGTTATCATCTGTTATAACTGCCCTTTGAAATTTTAATTCATTCACTAGCAATTTAGGGACTCCTATGTGCTAGGATTCTTTAGAGAAAGGTAAAAAGCAGAGTTTATAAAGGTAGTGGGGAGCATTCCTCTTCTCATTGCTTCCCCTAAATAAATGAACTTGCTATGAAATTATTATAAAAGGTTATATAAACCTTTTCATTATTTTTCATTAAATGTATTTTTCATTAAAACAAAAAGTATAGAAGGGAAAGAGTGGTCAAAAAATAAACTTCACAGCTTGCCTGGAATTCATGTTGAGACCTCATAAGTTTTACTAATTCAAGAAACAAAAACTGTATTTAAGCAAACTACATTCCTAATTCCTTAACATGTCCTTTTGAATGTTTGACGCTTCACATGCAGAAAAGTAATTAATGAAAAAGTTGACATGAATCACAAATCAGGTTAAATCCATGGAGAAGGCATAAAAGTAACTGATTGACTATATTTGTATACTTCCCATATTAGCTTTTTTGGGTGACTTTTCAAAAAAGATAAAATATAACGAACTTACCAGGTATACTTAAGAATATAACGTAAAATAATAAACACTGTTTTGGAAAGTAGATTTAACGTAAATAAAAACTATAAAGTCAAACAATGACTAAATCATTAGAAATGTTAGTAAACCATGCATATTAAAGGCATTTCTTCTGTGCTGTAAAGCAGCTGATTACAAAGACATATTAGTTTTTTTTTTAAAACCCTTGTAAAGAACTGCAAGATCTTTTAAGTGACAGTGAAATACAGTCACAGCCTCTGATTAGGAACTGAGAAATGCGCACAGCCTAGCAAGCTCCCTAAACAGCGTGCACCTGCCCATCGGGTCATCTGGAGAGGTGTGTGCTTTTCAAGTAACTAGATGAAAAACATTTTTAAATTCTCATATCTCCAGGTCTTAGAAAAAGAAAATTCATTTGAAGACAGATGCACATAGGTAGGTCTAGGGTCACAGGCGACAGGTTAAAAAGCATCAGAATGAAACAAACCTCAACAGCTTTCCTGAGGCCCTAAGCAGAGGTCATTTACATGCAGTCAAAGGACACTTAAGAGAGACCACTGCGCCAGCTGATTTAGCATCTGCCTGCAGGTCACTGGGGATGGGAGGAGGAGGTGCTGGGGAGGAACATGACATGCAAAAGGAGAATACCAGGAACAGGAAGCCGGAGCAGGAGAGGAGTGAGAGACACAGACTCACTCTGTCTGCGGTGCGGTGGGGCAGTCCGTGGGATCCCTTGGAAGGAGCCCTGCCAAGGAGAGAAGGAGGGAGCAGAATACCCACCCTGTGCAGAGAGAGAGACAGGGTAGGGAGGTATAATAAAAAAGGGGAATTGAAAAATAAAGAAACCAAAGTCATACTTTGTTTTGTTTTTAAAATAACATAGAGCAACAGTGTTAATGAGAATAGATTTAACTTTAAAATACAGGCAGCTCAAATGACTACAAATATACTATAATGTAAAAAAATCACATAGTAAATATTTTTAAGAGTGCATGATTTTCCTCTGGTTTGCAATTAACATACAAGAAATAATAGTCTTTCTGGTACATATCACATTCATTATTATATATTTCTTTACAGTAGCAGGTTCCAGTCTTCTGTAGAAGAGAAAGAATTTTAGAAGGAGAGATGGATTATTAAACATACACAAAATGCATTAATTTATGAGCCAAGCAGTCACAAAAATACCACATAAAATTACTTCTTTTTAAATTGTAGGTTTTCAGAAGATTAGAAGGTAAAAGAAAGAACATTAGCTAAGTTAGGACTAACACAGCAGTAAAAGACTTAGACGTTGTAAGAGTAAGTCCTTTATAAAGAACGTGTTGTGCAGGCCAGTTTACACATGCATGCTTTTTAATCTGAGTAACTCCAAGTTTCTACCTGTGTTATTTTAATAACACAGTATCAGAATTAGAATACATCTGAAGTGTCATTTACTTTCATTTCTTACTTTCCAAATAAAACTGGGCTCTTTAAGAAAGTAACTGTTCAGTGTCTCACAAAGAGAACCAGGTTGGGTCTTCTGTCTGTTAATCATAGCCTCCTCACTGATCAAGACATTCACAGACAAAACTGTTAACATGCTCTTAGAGCACCAACAGAGAAAATGAGCCATAGGTCTTTATCACACCTAGGCAAATTTGCAAAACACAGTATGCAGTTTTTCATATCAATTAATCTGATACAGAAATAATGCTATCTCAGCAAATTACTAATACAGCTTTACTGGTGTTTACAGATTCATGAACACTGTTTCAAATAAAAAGTATCCCACCTCTTTGTCAATATGCCTTGGATCCATTAGGTATAACCATATATTTCTTTGAATTTAAGAGTAAACCTACAATGTGCAATATAAAATAAAAACAAGATCCATTTTCTATGTTGATGGGGGAAACAGCTACTAGAAACTGAACAGAATTAATACACTTTAGAATAATCTAGTAAATACAGATCCTGTCTTTTAAAAATTTTTCAGATTTTGTTTTTAAAAATCACTACTTTTCACTCAATTAATCATATGGCCACAGAACTCAGAGGCAAAGAGCGTGCCTGGCAAGTGTGAGGTCATGAGTTTGATTTCTGGTACCAAAAAAAAAAAAAAAAGTCCATCTGCAAAAATAGCCTAGAAAGTATTGAATACGGCACAGCCCTACATGCTCTCTATAGATACCACCTGTGGTAACTGTATTGGGGGAATTCTGGGTCAAATTCGCAACAAATCTTTCTTAGCAGTATAACCAGAGCCAAGTTTTTACCCACTGCCTTGGTAAAGCAAACTCTCCTGGGTGACTTTAAGATCTGTTAAGTAGTGGTAACAAATGACTACATCAAGAAGTTAAGTTCTGGGCTGGGGATTTAGCTCAGCGGCACAGCACCTGCCTGACAAGCACAAGGTCGTGAGTTTGATTGCAGGTAACGGAAGAAAAACAAAAACAACAACAACAAAAAGAAGTTAAGTTCCTACTGAAGAAAGCTCTGACCTGGAGATGGGCCCCTGTGTTTTGAGGCTTCCACAAGCTTGGTAGCCAATCTTTGAGCCTCAGTTTCTTCATCTGTCAGAGGTGAGGGTTGGGATGGTTCACCTCTAAGGGCCCTTCCACTCTTAGTTTGCATAGTTTCTAGTATAGCTGTCCCTATCCCCACTCGAGTCATTGCTACCTTTATTTCTCGATTTATTTGCCATTTAAACAATCAAATTTGTCTTTGCTAAATTGTTAATTTGTAAAATAATTAAAGCATCTGTCACAATCCCTTCAACTTTGTGGGAGTTTTAAGGAACATTAAATGTCCTGCTACCGCAAGCCTAACACTCCTCAGTACAAACTCTAAATAACTATTTATTGATTTAAAACGAATTAAACTATCTCATTTATCTAGGGATGGAGCTGTAATATCTGTCGGTCCTGACCACACATTACAATCAACTAAGACATCTGAAAAAAACAAAAACAATGACATCATTTTTATTTCACTAAGAACAACAACTCAGCCTCTGGGATGGGCCAGAGCATGAGAAGGAGACACACAACTCTGTGATATAAGCATGTACACAGCTCTGCCCACTACGCCAAGGGACACCCACCTATCAGCTGACAAGACATCATGTGCCATCAGACCTTAGGCCCCAAAAGGCAAAGAAAGCTACTTATTTTATTTCTGCCCCTTAAAATGCCTTCCTCCTCTTCTCTAACCACCTGTCAAAATCCTATTCAGCCTCCCCAGCTCATTTCAAGTGCATTTCCTTTAGCTACATAAATTATGATCACTCTTATTAATATTCATAGGTCTTAGAATTCCTGCCTTGAGAAATTTTTCTCCCTTTTCTTATTATGTTGATAATATCTATATCATATATATATATATTAAATCTTCTAATAAATATATGCACACTGAGGATGGTGGATCTCCTACTTTTCTTAGTGCCAACTACAGCTGCTTGTCAAGTGATTCACAGAGTAGAAATAACATCTGTATCAACACTATACAACAAGATGGAGCTGACACATTTCTCCCTTTTCCTGCTGTTCAGCACAGCTAAAAGCCCCGAACACATACATAACACAAATGCAAACCTCTGAAAGGTGGAGAACAAAAGGCCACTCAGCTAGGGAGCTTGGGAACTAAGAAAAAAATGGTAGGAAACCCTTGGTTTTCCTTTTCTTAATATATCATAAGCTGCATGATGAAGAAGCCAGCACCCGGAAACACCAATGAGCACAAACAAAAGGCTTGCTCCACCAGCTAAAGGCCCAGCACACAGAGGTAGCCCAGCAATGTAACAAACTTGTACATAATAAGCTCTCTACATGCTCACTTGGGCAGTGCATGTACATAAATACCTCCCTAGTGCCACAGAAAACCTGTCGTCCCAGCCCCTCTTCCTACCAGAAAACTCCGAGTGGGCGTGATATTGTCTTAGGCAGTCCTTAAAATATATACAGGAAACATTCAAGAAACCTGAAAATGGCAGAGGACTTAAAGGAAAATACATTTTCTACATACAGCATTGTAGGCAGCTAAGTGAGACAAAATAAACACCATCAGAAAGGGACTATGCTCTCAAGGAGTCAAAACAAAAATAAAGACATCAGAACTGTGGGTGGAGGCGCATCTGAAGGTCAGGCCTTAAGATTGAGATGCAATGGGCAGGTGCACACACCTCCCCCCAAGGGATAAACAGTAACTTGAGATTATACTGTAATTAACACCACCTGGTCCAGGAAGTCCAGATTTTAGGAGGAACCCTCAGCATAAAACACTAAAAAGGCATTTTCTAGGCAACACATACAGAATAAAACAAAAGCACAACCACTAGAAACACTAGAGAGACATTCCCTAGAAAAAACTTAGAACTGGTATCAATCAAGCACTCTCAGTGGTGGTTGCTTTTGACATTTAAATATAGAGATGTTTGTTTTGTTTTTTCTGGTACCGGGAATCGAACTCACAACCTTGCGCTTGCCAGGCAGGCACTGTGCCACTGAGCTAAATCCCCAGCCCCTAGAGTTGTTTTATAACTAAAAAAACTATAATGTTCTCACAAGGAGAGACCTAATTACTGCTGTCAGTACACATTAAAATAATGACTTTCATTACCTCTTTTGGAAGCACATCAACTTCTTCCAAAAGATAGACTTGATCAAACTATTTCCTGGAAAGCCAACAGCTGTTTGTCACTGACTGCTGTCTACATCTAATACCAAGAGTAAAATTTCAGTCTGTCTTGCCCATAGCTTCAACAAGTAGGTCAGTAAATTAAACTCAAACATTACACAAATGAAACATTCCAACAGCAGAAAACTGGTGCTATTTTTTGTTTTCTAACAACAGTATAAATTGCTTCTTTTAAGGCCTACCTGAAGTTTCACAGTTTTGGTATTTGGTACTAGATGGCCAGACTTAAAAATCTTACATTTCTAAACATGTTAATCATTCAATTGCTGTAATATCCACGTTTAATTTGTTCCTAGCCTTTAAAAAATTCCATTTTCCTGTTACTAGTTTCAGATATAACTGAGAAATACAAAATACTGTTGTTTTTTCAAAAGCTGGCATCAAAGGCAGTCTTTGTTGTGTTGTCATCAATCCTGCATGTCAGAAGGCAATGTCTCAGTAGCACAGGTAATTCCTGACAACATCTATAAAGCTAAATGATACAGGCTACAGTCAATAGCCAGTGTCTAATCTTGACTAAACATTATGTAATTTAAAAGTAATTGTGGGACTAGATCATGAATATTACTTTTTTAAATACTGATATATGTTTTCTTCACTTGAAATGTTTAATGGCACATTTTAAATACACATAGTAATGAATATAAATGAGAAAAAAAGACCCTGGGGAAAAAAAAATGAATCCTGTAAGTCCCCTTGAGTACGTTACCTCCAAATCTGTCTATCCTGTCTACCTACCTATCTAGCTACTTACCTGAGTGCTCAGCAGTCCCATGTAACCAGTGGTCACTGCATAGCACAGCACACAGAGTTCTATGGTAGCATAGCTCTGAAGTGCCCCACCACTCTTCCATCCTGGGACTGCCCCCTATTGTGGCTAACTTCTTTTTATAATTCGGGCTTGGCACAGTTTATACTGCTGCATTATTCCTTTCCCAAGCAGAGCAGGTAAGATGTGCTTCATACTTGTCCTCAATGCTAAAAATGCTGTTCTAGAATACCTACACTTAAAATACTCTGGGATATGCCTATAGCACACCTTGGGCAGCTCCCTACCCTAGTCAAACCCTAAATGAGTAGCACAGCAGGTGATTTATTCCTCCTTCCTTTGCTGGTTTCAGTTTCACAGTCTAATATTGCAGTGGCCATCAAATCACTTTCTGATCATATGTAACACCTGGTGGTAGTGCAAAACCATATAGATCAGAAAATACTGGGGCAAAGTATTTCAAGAATCAGTTTTTAATTGATTAAAGCATTCCTTCATTTTTGGTTTAGCCAAAAAAAAAAAAAAGTCAAACAAAATAGTAATAGGAAACCACTTCCACAACCACCACTGCTGTACAACGTATTTCAATCTAAACATAACACACAAATGGTTTTGATCATTCTCAACACAGCTCTAAAAGGTACTTCTGGTATAATAAACAAATGTTACCATATGTAGAAAGACACTCCTAGATCCCAAGGATCAAAATACATCCTCAATTCGCAACAACTGAGGCTGAATATATGCAAAAAATGGCATAATAAAATGGCTCACAGGGCAATGGGAAGGAAGTCAGAACTATAAGAAAATCCTATATAACAAGAATAGATATAACAGAAACAGCTGAGCACCTCATCATCATTTGAAATGATGACATGGAGCTTGAGTTGGAATCCTTCTGGCCAAGGAGTCACCTGTCCTGTCTGCGTAGCAGATGTATCCTTTCTGTACAGGGACCCACCACGAGATAGGAGCTACAACCTCATGACCTTGAACACTTGATTATAAAGTCTAATATTGCAGAGGCCATCAAATCACTTTCTGATCATATGTAACACCTGGTGGTAGTGCAAAACCATATAGATCAGAAAATACTATGACAAAGTGTTTCAAGAATCAGTTTTTAATTGATTAAAGCATTCCTTCATTTTTGGTTTAGCCAAAAAAAAAAAAAAGTCAAACAAAATAGTAATAGGAAACCACTTCCACAACCACCACTACTGTACAACATATCTCAATCTAAACAGATGCAACAGATGTGTACATATACATACACTACCAAAAAGTCTAGAAGATCAAATGAGGAATGCTGATAATGGCTATAAGTGGTTAGTATAACTCGAGTAATTTAAATTTTTCCTAAATTGTTACTTTCAAAATACTGTAACCTCTCAGTAAAAAGTACAGAGAAAGAAAAGCTGCCTTAGAGTGTCTCCCTTTTAAGCATATTATGTTTTGGCTCTATGCCATTCATAAAGTACCCTTAGCACTCTCTTTTCCCCATTCCTTTAAGAGGCATTGAATTCTATCCTTTTTCTACTGAGAAAATGATGTGCAATCTACTTTTGCCAAAAGATTTTTTTTTTTTTTGCTACTACTAGTACAAGATTGAGCTCTTTTGTGGAGGATTTCTCTTTCATACTTTTACTTGAACTATCACTTCAACCAGCAATGCTTACCCCGCAGTAATTTTAAATCCTACAAGTACATTTCTGTGGTTATCACAGTAGACTGCAAGCCTCCACCACGCAGAGTAAACCTGGGCACCTGGTTTCTCTTTCAGGGACATGTAGTCTTATCGTGATCTCTCTCAAGATCTGTTCAGCCTCTACCCTTGCTCCCCAGGGCTCTAACACTGTTCTGCCTGTTCCTTTTAGTCACTTCACCTCCTGCAGCCACTCAAGCGGGGCAAGATGCTACCCACAGGTTAGAAAACCAACGAGAGCTGCATGTGAGTTATGCAAGCACTCCCACAAGTCACTGCTTAGTCCTAGAACCTTCGTGTGCAGGAAGAGTGAGGCTGACGCCATGTAGGCATGTTGGAGGTTCTGTAGACATCTGGAAGGCTGCAACTGTGTCTTCTTCACACTTACACTCCCAGATTAGGAGAGTGTTCAGCACAGAGTAGGCAATATCTATCTGCTAAGTGAGTAAGGAAGGTTTCCTTTTCTTCCTTTTGTTCTACTGCTTTACTTCTTCCCTTATTTCCTGCTGGCTGTGCCCTTCAGAAATCCTATCTGCAGCCATTAGGAGACACCAAAATCCCCTTGGATGAAACTATACAGAAAATCTGCACTGGGCTGAATATATTCCCACTCCCATTGACCTGCTGCTGGTGGTGCCAGCCAATCTCCTCCCTCCTGCAGGTTCTGACTGAGGAGACTGATAACTTTTCCCTTATTTTTTTCCACTTGCTAAGTGGCTCCAGGCAAGTCATTCAGAGAGTAACTCAGTCTCCTTCACCATTCTTTCCTCCTTCCACTCTAGCCAAGTGTCTTCCTTCACGCCTAGACAACGTTCAGAGGAGATTCTCATACATCCCTCACAAATCTCTGGGGTGGACTCTAATCAAATAACAGGGCCAATGTGAAGAAACTTAAAATTTTAAGATACTATACAAAAGGTCAAGAGTGAAACTCAGGTTGTAACCTTCACCCTTCTCAAAGGCTTACCCAGATCAAGAAAACTGCACTTATAATAAGTCTGAAGATTTTTAAATAATATTATTTTCACGCCCAAAATTAATGTCTAACAAACAATGTTGCCAAAGAAGAATCACATTGCATGTTATCTCCATCCTCAAAATTCTGTTTATATATACTGCATTCCTGCTTAAAAAAAAAAAAAAACATTTAGAGTAAAATATAACTTCTGAAAAGAAAATCACTGTAATTATAATAAATGATCTCCAAAACATGTATTTCAAGTAAAGTCCAAGAAACAGAAAAACCAGAGGCTACACTTAATATTTAATATGTTTTAAAATTTTAACACTACCGCTATTTCCCTAAACACACACTGTGTTCTGCCATAATCATATACTGGCTGCTTTACCATCCCTTTCTACCTCTCTACCTTCACTTGCACTGTTTCTTTTACCAAGGATATTCCTCCCACTCTAATCTGTAAAACCTCTCCACCTCCCAGGCTCCTGAGTATGCTTCAAAACAAGAAACCCAGAACTAGCACAGGTCCTAAATTACAGTACTAGTTTCAACATTTACTTACTATAGAAATTTTAAGCAGTCATTAATATCCCAAGATTCTGGTACTTTATCTACAAAACAAAGGAGTTTAACTAGGTGATTTCTCTAGTAAGAGATAACAGGAAAAGCTCAAGTCTGGAAAAACTGACCCCAAGATCACCCAAGATCAAGGCAAAACTAACTTAGGAATAAATGCAGAACATGCTGGGGTTGCTCTGCACCAGCTGCTTTTGTCTAGTGAGGAGGTAGGGAGGCTAAGGAAGCCAGACAGAATGATATGAAGTACAAATTTCCATGAAGATGGCAAACTGGAGCCTTGCATGCTTAAAGGGATCACCTGTCTAGTCAGTAAGCTGATCAAAAACACAGACGTCCCTGTGGGATGACTGGAGACACCTGGAAAGTCCAGAAGTCCATCTTTGCAAGGGGCACAGTCTTATTTTGTAACTGCCGTCAGACAGGTAAGTTTCTACATCCTTGCACAGTAAAGAAATATATCGTCCCAGTCTGTTGATGTCTTTGCTTTCTACGATTCGAACATTACGTTCACCTTCTTCACCATACTCCATGATTCCTGTAACTAAACCTTCCAATCCTAACTCTCAGAGAACTTACAGCAGTTGCTATCAATGCATGACCAGTTCTCCCCAAAGTGCTTATAAATGAAAAAATCCTTATATATCTATATACATATTTCCCAATAACTCATTTTTACTTTAAGAGTCTAATATCTCTAGGATGAGCAATGATCAAACTTTTGCCAAATAAGTTAATTTTTGCCATCATACTTTTACACAGGCTACAAAAATAACTATCACATGAAAATATTTATAACCTTTAAAGGCCTACAGTAAAGTTTTGTAAGTTTGTGTTACTAGGACTCCACTGATAATCCACAGTGAGACAAAAGTCAAAGCTGGCTTATCAAGCATTCTACTAATGAAGTCGGTTACCTGGCCTCATGTAAAAGGAGAATGATGACTGAGGATAATGCTCTGGCATAGGTACCTCCTGAACTGAGTGCCAAGGAATTCAGGTTAAATGATGGTCAGAATATTTTTAGTACTAAAAATGTTCTGAGATACAACATTTAAAGAAAACAAACAAAAGTAAATGGCTATTTTCTACTACTTGGTAGAAATCACAGCCTAATTCTGCATAAAATATAATAACCCTCTCTAGCTATGCCTTCATGCATTAATGATTCCTAATATTATCAACATTTGTAAGTAATTATAACAATAAAATATTTTGAAGAATCTCAAACAAAAAAAGAACTATGTGACACTATATACCTTCAAAGTGTCAAATGCTGCTGAAGCAAAATGACTGAATGTTGGGCTTCTGTTCTTTCACAGTGTGTGAAAACACCACTCTCATAAAAGCATGCAATGAGAGGAGAGAAGACACTCAAAATGAGCTGCAGTGTGCAGAATGGAAAGCTATTAAGTGCACATTCGCTTATAAAGGACACACAAGAGAAGCTGTAGAAAGCACAGAAACACCTAACAGCCATGAAAAAACAACTGACCTTAAGAAAAAAATTAGCCATGACAGATTCAAAATTATTAGTGATTAGAGTACAAATAGCAGAACAAAACTTCCAAATAGCAAAATGACTGGAGAGGAGGATAAGAACAGGTTACTTACAGGAATTCTTCTCCAGGGTGTTTGGGTATATTTATCAGCATATGTGCCTTTTTCCTCTTGTGATTTTTGGTGGCACTTACACCGGGTTGCCTGAACAAAACCACAAATTTTTATACTGGTTTAATTATGTACATATAAACAAAGGTAACTAGGGACTTCCTTAGGGAATACAAAACCAAATCAACAACACAGTTCTGGCTACTTATATGATGAAAGTGTCTATAGCAAACACAAGGTCTATAAAGTTGTCTAGCATCTTATTCAGGAACTGGGTCTGAAAGTAAGCCAGTAAGGCTAGAATTTTAAATAAAACAAACTGCCTTGGAAATTTCTTAAACTGTTCATAAAACATACAGATATAGAAACATGTAGCAATATACAGTATATAAAAAATACAACAAAATTTACATTATTTTACATGATGGCATTATAGTCATTCCCACATAGTTTCTTAAAAGCATTTTTGATGGGACTCTACTGGCTATTAGATACCAACGGTCCACACATCAGGATGTCTGTTCCTACACATACTGCTATATGCCCCTTTAATGATGTGTGTGCTCTACTGGACTGGAGCATTTTTAAGGATCTTTGCCCTATGACAAAATCTATCATATCGGACCATTTCAATTCACCAAGAGATACACATGATTCTATTCAACGCACACAGTTATATGAACACAATGCACCTACAGTATAAACCTGGGACTCAAAAAAGAACAAAAAGAAGACAATGAGAATTTCCCCTTAGTGTGAAGGCACATAACCATATTGTTTGATAAATAAACCCACTGAATTCATATACACTTTCTTATAGGAAAACCTACAAAATTCTTGATTATGACATCAAGTTAGAAGTATTTTCTACTTTAAAAATACTCAAAATTCTTTTTCAAAAATTAGTTCCTATCACATCATTCCAATTTCCTTATACTACATAAAATCTAATTTTAAAAACTCTATAAAACACATGTATTTCTTATTCCTAAGAAATAGGATAGCACTGAAACAAAATTTACACATAAGTGAGTGAACCTAAGAGTCTCTTAAAATGTACCCTAATAGGTCTTAACTTTAAACATATCTTGGAGGCATGTAAAGAAAATATGAAACACTTATTGTAATGCAAGCACACTACTTAGTCCATCCTGACTATAGGAATCCCAGAAATATTCTTTCTGTGGTCTATGTGCTAACACAGTAGAAATATTACAGTGAATATTTCAATTTTCCATCATTTGGACAGTCTAGTTTTCATTGACGTTTCAACAGATACAAAATAATGAAAATTACTACCCGAATAATTCCTTCTCCATATGCTTGCTTTTATTGCTGTCATATCTGTATGTGTGTTATACAGATGCTTATTTTATGTGTGGTTCCTTATTTAGGGAAGTGTGTCCTGTCTCTTATCCTAAAAACCCGTATCTTAGTAAATCTGAATCAAGCTAGTTATTCCCAACCCTCTGTGATTAGGAAGGCACAGGTAACCCAAATCTAGCCAGCAAAACACAAGAAAAGTCTATGGGTATTTTTCTGAGATAGTGTTCCTTGATTTTAAAAGTAGGTAAATTATAGAAAACAAGTCCTTTACTGATGTTTGGAATTTCTGTATGAGAATATGACACAATGAAGTACAGTAGACATCTTGTAACTAATGACAAGACATGCAAAAAGGTTCCAGAAAAACCAACCTAGAACTTTATCTATGGACCAAATGACCAAAAGCAACCACAGAAATGGACAGGATTTATACATATTCTTATTATTTGAGTACACTACTAGGGATTGAACCCAGGACCTCTGCAATGAGCTATATTCTCTGCCATTTTAAAGTTTTTCTGTTTTGTTTTATTTTGTTTTAAATTTTGAGATAGACTCTTACTGAGTTGTTGCCCAGGGTAAGCTCAAACTTCTGATCCTCTTGCCTCCACCTCTCAGAGTGCTGCCTATATACTACAGGCATATACCACCATGCCTCTTCTTTTTTGTTATCACTCTTAGTTAGGGACTTTCATTTGAAACTTAAAGCATCATAAGACATGTACTAATTTATACTGAGTGGTAGGGGGCAAGTCATTTAACAAAAGTGACTATCACATACCCAGGGGTAGGTATTCTGTGGTTCAACCTGGGTGACCAGGACTATTTTTACTATTCTTCATTTACAGAAAAGGTTTAGGAGAAGTTTCATACTTTCCCTAAGAGAACATGGCTATGATGTTTCAAAGCCAGGATCTGAATTGTTTGCATGATTTTATAAATTATGGTAGGCGTACTTCACTTGAGTTCCACTTTCTGTGTTTCCCTTAGAGAAAATTCTACACTAGCAATCTCACAAGATTATTGCAAGAATTCAATGAACAAATTTTTAAAATTAACTATTTAATTAATGTCATGAGGTAAAAATTATCAAGTAGTGTTGGCTTTTTGAAGTAAGGTTTAAACCTCTATACTTTGCAGTTAAATTCTCAGAACACTATAATCTGATTTTTTATCAACAGATTTAATGTAGACTATGAATTCAACATTTTATTATTTTATGGAAGTTTTCATACAAATACAGATAAGTGGTAAACACATATTTATTTCTTTTTTTTTTTTTTTTTAATTTTAAGGATAAAAGGAGGGAAACATTAACAGACATACAACATTTTACAACATATCACAAGCACAATACAGACAATACAGAGTTACAAACAAAGTGGTAGGGAATTAACAATGGTGGTTGTATTACATATTGATATCTTCAAAGTGGCTTCTCATGAAAACAGATATAGACATGCAATACTGGTCAACCAAAGATTCATTGACAGTTTCTTTCAGCATAGAAACAGCAGATAGAAGAATAACCATGTTATCTATCCTGTATATACATACATACAAAATTTCTCCTTCTTTCCCTTCTCTTTTCCCACATCCCAGAAGCCCTTTACTCTTCGGTGGTTTCCTATCATTTCACAGTGTCTATCATACCTCCGAGTTTAAATTAACTCTTTCAAGTTTTACACTAGTGACACAATGCGGTGCTTGCACATGTATGTTTGATTTATTTCACTTATGAGTATGGTCTCTAGTTGTGACCATTTAAATATAAAGGCCTCGAGTTTATCTTTCTTTACAGCTGAGTAATATTCCATTATATAAAAGTACCATAATTTTCTTATCCAATCCTCGGTGGATGGACATTTGGGTTGCTTCCACATTTTAGCAATTACAAATTGTGCTGCTATGAACATAGGTGCACATATATCACTGTGATATGATGTTTTTAAATCTTCTGGGAAAATACCCAGCAGGGGGATAGCTGGGTTGAATGGGACCTCTAAACCTAGTTTTCGGAGGAATCTCCAAACTGATTTCCACAGTGGTTTCACCAGTCTGCATTCCCACCAGCAGTGGAGAAGGGTTCCTATTTCGCCACAGCCTCGCCAGCATTTGTTATTGGTTGATTTCTTAATGCTAGCCATTCTTACTGGGGTAAGGTGGAATCTTAGTGTTGTTTTAATTTGCATTTCTCGAATGACTAATGATGTTGAACATTTTCTCATATATTTATTTGCCGTTTGTATCTCCTTGTCTGAGAAATGTGTGTTCATCTCAGCTGCCCATTTTTGGATTGGGTCTTTGAATTTGGAGGGGCTGAAATTTTTTAATTCTTTATATGTTCTAGATAGAAGCCCTTTGTCTGAGGGACAATCAGCTAAAATTTTTTCCAAGTTTGTGGGTTTTCTTTTGACTCTGCTGGTGATTTCTTTAGATGTGCAGAAACTTTTCAGTAGGATGAGATCCCAGTTGTTGATTCTTTCAAGTGTTTCACGTGCAATTTGGTTTTTATTCATGAACTCTCTGCCTACCCCTATGTCTTCGAGGTTTTTACCTACTTTCTCTTCCAATAGATTTAGTGGTAAACACATATTTAAAAACAACATAAAGAAAACAAAGAAGGCTCAGCATGGAAGGGAATTTAACCTAGAAAATCCTTCTCACTGGGGATAAAGAAAGCACTAGAGAGATGATGGCAACTGCCAACGTCCTTCAATGTATGAATCCTGGAGTCTACAGAAGCCCTCTAAGTCCTGTCTATGGCTCTTCTGGTGGCTTTTCCTCTACTTTTTAAAAAAAAAATTGGCTGGAGATATAAAGAAATAAAAAGATAAATACATTATAAAGAAAAAATTTTAACATTAATAGTAAAAAATGCTGCCACCTCTCTCTAAATTCCTATCTTTAAATTCTCTTGATCTGAGCATATGAAGGTTTAGAGTTCTACAACTAAACTTTCCATTAGTACAACCTTTCTGAATGACTTCTACTTCCTTATTATAAATAACAAACAAAAACATCTAGCCCTTAAAACTCATTTAACAAGACATTCACTTCACCGAGCAACACTGCTTTCATTTAAAAATTCTCTAAATTTATGTTGAGAAAATATAACTTCTGAATGCCATCTCTTTTCTTCTGCCTGAAAGCTGGCTGGGCTTTTATCTTTAGCTCTGAAGCACAAACATTAGGTCTTACTTTTTCCAAAAATTTTATATGTGGTAGGAACTCAATTTGCAGCAGTACACTATTCTTTATTTGGATTATTACATTTTCTTTGTGCCTTTATTCACAGTAACTGGGTGTCTATTCTTCATGTTGTGGATGTCTGTGATCTGCCCTTGTGACTCCAAGGCTCAGGATATTAAACACTTTATATTGAGTGAGGTTAATATTTCAAATGGCTGAGCTGTTTTGCTACAGCAAAATATGGTTTTTGATTTCCATTCATTCACACCTTTTGTATTATTGCAAACTAAGTTACAATTGAGTTCAGGTCACCATACATATATTGCTTTCATATGGAACTAACATTTGAAACTATAACAATAACAGAAGTATAAAAATTCAGAGATGATGCCAAAGAATCACTCAACACCATCCACAGAAAAGGAACATTATCTTAAAGTTCCCTGTGGTCTCAATACTCAGGGCCATTGTGCTCACAGAGAGAGAAAATGTCCTGTTCTCAACTCATGTCTGGCGCCACTTACCCTGAACCAATAAATAAGTGCGAAGGGCCAATTTTAAACCCCTAAAACAAAGGTCACTGAAAATGGACCAACAAAGAATTTTTACATTGAATACATAACATTTAGATTGAAAGTTAAATCATGTACTTCTACTAGAGTGTATTATGTAAATATAATCACCTAACTTGGGAATCTAAAAATATAGAAAAACTCTTAAATCTGGTTCAGAGTCTTATAAAAAGCAAAAAAAAAAAAGAGGCTTGAAAAGCTTCCATTTTACATCCTACTCTATAATACTTACAAGTTGATGTTCTAATAGTTGAATTTTTTCATCTTTTCTCTTTATTTCATCTTTAAGCTGTTTTATTTCATTTAATAAATCTTCATTCTGAAATTTAAAAATTTAAGATGAGTCATTTGAAATATTCTAATGAAAAGCTTTAAATAAGAGATGAAGACCCAGTGAAAACCCTCTATTTAAAAAAAAATCTTCAAAAATTTCATGATCTAATGGAGTCCGACATATAAACAATGAAAATAATTGAAGTAACAGCTAACATTCACTGAGTACCTTATTAAGTATCCAAACCTAAGCACTTTCAGGTATTTAAGCATTTGATGATGAAGGATTTATATTTCAAGTATATTACGAACCTGTTCAAACATAATTTTCCATACCCCGGGCTGGGGATTTAGCTCAGTGGCAAAAGTGCCTGCCTGGCAAGCACAAGGTCATGAGTTCGGCTCCCGGTGCCGGAGAAAACCAAAAAAAAAAAAAAAAAAAAAATTTTCCATACCCCAACATAGCTACTTTTTACAAACATATAATTAGTAAAATGTTCTGGTTGACTTGTTAAAAAAAAATAAAGATTTGTGCTACAAATACTAAAAGTAGGGGATATATCTGATGTGCTTAGTAAAGACAGGAAAATGGTATACCATCAGATATAGCACTTCACCTTTCTGGGCAAATGAACAGCTGTATATCTAACAGTTCTCTAAGAATGCCTGCATTCTTTGACTCAGTTATCCCACATACAGAAAGCCACGCCAAAGAAATAATCCCAAGTATGACAAATTCTACAAGATATATGAAAGTTTTAAAGTTTTCAACAGTCCTATCAGGGGACAACTGAAATGTAACACAGTAATTTGATGCAACAGTATGTATTCATCATTCCTGTATGCATGGCTAAGTTCTGCCAGTGTTACAGGAAGTGGTCCAAAAATGAAATCAAAATACAAAAAACATTAATAGCCAACAGATATAGAACACTTAGCAGATGGCAAGCAATGAACTAAGGACTTTACACATAAACATAGACCACACAGGACCCATCAGGCAATGGTTGACTCCGGTGGGTCTTAAAAGATTCACAGAAAGTTCTTAAGACAGACATGGTAGGCTCTGCATCTTCCAATAACAGAGTCTAACTGTCACACAGTGCAGATGTGAGGACAAGTGCAGCACATCTTGAACACTATAAACAGTGACATTCTAGCACAAAGGCTATGGTAAATAAATAGTAGAGAGTGGTTTGCTTAACAAAATGGGCGAAGGTCAAATCATGACCACAGGGTCCTCAGCATGGCTTTAGCCAGGGAGTGACAGATTTGCATGTAAGATGGTACTGACAGCTGTCTGGAGGGCAAATTTGGCAACAATGACAACAAAACTTTGCTAGGAAGTTGTTATCAAGACATTGTAATATTCCAAATGAGAGTATCAATCTGACCCACAAGAAGAATTAAAAAGATGGAGAATGAGAGAAGGGTCAAAGTTGAGAGATTTTGGAAATGCACTGCATGTGAGAACACAGAGGAACACTGCAGAGTGACACCTATACTTCTAGCTTGAGTGACATGGTGAATGACTGTACCACCAAAATAAGTGAATAAAGGAGGACAAACAAGTATGTCTAAGAAGGAATATATGTGAGTTTCAAATACATGATGGAGAGATCTGTGGGTGGTAAAATAGGTAACTAAATCACCGTGTAAGAAAAAGAGCAATTTCAAACATTATCAACTCCTATCATAAATAAAATCATGAGAGTGTAAGTTCATAGAGGATTGAACTAAAGATATATATCTAACACTGAAGGAAGAAAGAAATCTACACAAAAAATTAAGGGAAATGTTTTAATTATGTAGGATTCCAGAAAGAAGTGACACTTAACCAAAAGATGAAGCTTTAAAGATGAAGGACGTGCCTAATGTCTGCACATGTTCATTTTTCCAGGCTCCCCATTAACTGAAATGGAGAGTCCAGGCTCCCCATTAACTGAAAGGAGAGTCGAGAAAAGCCTGATTTAATGCAGTTCAGATAGCTGAACTATGTAAGTGGAACAAAATGAGTAAAAATGAAACAAGTACAGAGTACAGGTGAAGTTAGCAGGCAAAACAGACAGGAATCAGAAGATCACCCCTGGTTGACGAGCAAAGGCTGTGTGCTGAGGTTGAGAAGTGCGGCTGACTGAGCATGGGCCTGGGGAACCATCAAAGCTGAGAACAGCTCATCAAGGGAATGAGAAAGAAAGAAAACCCTGAAATAAACACAGGGGTGGAGTAAGGCATCGCAGGTCCAGTGGGGATCTTAGTTTTAATTTTGTAATGGCAAAAGTCACCATATTTGTATGATCTGAAACTGTACTGCTAACCCATCTTGGAAAAGAAGGTGGTAAAAGTCAAGAATTTATTGATAAAAGTGCAAAAGACTAGGCTATCAGAGAAGAGACCCTCTGAGCTACTGCATCTCAACTTGAATAAAAAGGAAGAATCAGGAAAGCTTTGCCCAGATGGAAAGGGATTAGGGGCAGGAAATAAATACCATTTAGTAGTATGTCTATTACATAATATTAAATGTATAGATGAGCTACAAAGGAACATGGAAAAACAATGAAGACAGTAGTGGTATAAAAAGTTGGAAACGGGCTGGGGATTTAGCTCAGCGGCAAAAGCGCCTGCCTGGCAAGCGCAAGGTCGTGAGTTCGGTTCCCGGTACCAGAGAAAAAAACAAAAAAAAAAAAAAAGTTGGAATTAATTTTATTTATATTTAAAAAATGCCTTTCAAAAAACCGGGGGGAAAAAAGGCTAACTTTAAAAACTATGCCAGTCACAAAACTAAAAAAAAAACTAAAAGAGCCTCAGAGGTCATTAATAACTGGTTCTCAAGGTTCTCAAACAGTTGTGCACGTAAAACTTTTTCAAAAAAGAGAAGGTCTGCTTCAGACCTGCTGTAGATTACCATTACACCAGCAGTGGAGAATCAGCTCAAAAATAGGAAGTGACTGGAGAACATCAAATGAAATAGCCCCAAGTAGATAATCAGATGTGAATACTTTGCTATATTTTTTTATTTTGAGTCCTTTATGTACAGTTTGGTTCACAATAAGTCAATGTGCATTCTATGAGAAAATTATGTTCCTCTGACCAGGGACAGTTACTTGAATTGTTTTGAAAGAGAAATCTGGGGGCTGGGGATTTAGCTTAGCAGCATAGTGCCTGCCTGGCAAGCACAAGGTCATGAGTTCAATTCCCAGTACCAAAAAAAAAAACAAAACAAAAAAAAACAACAAAAAAAGAGAAATCTGACACATCCAAACAGAATTTATATCTGCTTTAACAAAGTTCTTCTCCTCTGCCCAACAATGGCCTGTCGCACAATAAAAGCTGATCTTTCAGCTTCAATTTCAAAAGAAAAAAGACATATGAAACAATCTCAACTGATTGATAGTAAATGTATAACATGAGAGTAACATAAACTTATGTTATTTTAAACCACCAATATTCTGAGGTTATGTTACTCCAAATGACTAGCAAATGCTAGAACAGATTGAAAGTAAGATATAAAAGCCAGCAACAATTTTACTTGGAAATATTACATAAATGAAGAATGTCTGTGTGTGCTTTAATAGAACATATGTTTAAGAAATAATTGCTTTCTTCAACTAAAAACAGACCTAAAGATACAGATATATACATAAGAACTCAATTACTCATTAAAATACAACTCTTCACAAGAAATTAAAACATTATATACTATAAACATGTGTTAATAAATTTTTAAAAATATAAAAACTACATCTGAATTCTATAAATATATATTTAAACATGAAAAAAATTAATCTCATTAAAATCAGTGTATTTCTCTAATGCTGTTATTATACATGAAAGGTATTACTGCCCTTTTTAATTTTTACTGGTAGCCATAGTTTAAGAGCTGTTATTATTATTAGTAATGTAAGCATCAGAGCAATGGGGATAAACTGTTATCCAACTGATAAACACAAACTAAAGCATCACTAGGATATCATGATAATTCAAAAAGTATCAAAAGTTAAGAGCAAATTTGATTGCCTTGGCCAGTAAAGCTTTATTAGTCAATGTTTTAATTATCATTATTTCATTATTTTAATAGTAAGAATTCTGAAATCTCTAGTATCACTACTTAGGTATACCTTATACGTCTCATCAGCTTCTTCTGGTTCTGGACTGGGGGGCAACGAGAGCTGAACGTCATGCAATGACCCACTTCCATCATGCTGTCGGAAGAAAAGAAATATAAGTGAATGCAGGCATTCACTCCCACCTGAATGCACCCCAGAGCAAAGGTTAGCATGGCAAAGAAGAAGAGGGCATTAAGACTGCATGTTTCCTTCTCAACTCTGCACTGGTGAAAAGAAATGCAGAAGAAGAGAGAAAGGCAGGGCAAGAAGAAAAGCTGCAGAGAAAACACACAGTATATGAGCAGGTAAAGGAGACAACTGAGTATTTCAGAGTTGGAATGTGTGAGAAATTTTTTAAAGAATTGTAACATTACCTCAGTCATCACATTACCTTTAGATGTATTGCAAATGACCATCAATTGAATCTGCTAGGATTTAGATGTGTTTCAAGTACAAAGTAGTCAGAAAAAACAACATTAAATCATTCAATATGGGTGATCACAAAAATCATTTGATTAAAAGTACCAAATACTTGAGATGACATATTGCATGCCTCTATTTCTATGAAGTATGGAAACAGGCAAATGAATGGTGCCAGGAATCAGAACGGCCCCTGACTCAGGGCAAGAAGGTTGCTGACTGGAAAGGAACGTTAGAGCAATAGGAGGAAGCAGGAAATGGTCTAAGTCTTGACAGCATAGAGGTTACATACCTATGAAACAGTCCAAGCTCCACAATTATGACTAGTGCACCTTAAACATTTTACTATTGGTATGTTAAACCTTAAAAGCAAAGGTGAAAATATTAAGTATTTTGTCCTTAAACTTGATAAAATAAGAAGATATATTAAGTTCTAAGCTTCGTTGAATTGGTTATAAATGAGAAACAGCCAGTGATTCAGATAAAGAACCTCAAGAAAGGTGGGCCAAAGTGAACTATGCCTGGAGCAATGAAGAGGGACTGGGCAGCCAACTAAGGCAGCATGACTGCAATACCCACCTCTGCAGAGCACAAACATCAGGCACACCTGCTCTCCATCTGGATAATGACCTGCACTGATACAGGCATGGTTTCAATAGGAGAGGTGAGCATTTAGGTAACTGTCTTCTTCATTTATTTCACTATGTTGCTGTTGGATCAGAATCTCTAGAAAGCTTAAGAGGTAATACTGAGTGTGAAGATTTAAGCATCTGCCAGTTTTCTAGTTGAACAAATTCCATTGTTTAGTGATGTTATTTAAAAAAAAAAAAAGACTGTGACTTGGGAGGGGAAGGAAGTATCCTAATGGACAGCAAATGGTCTTAGAATGTAATGTGTTGCTTTTTTTTTAATGTAATAGAAGAGCAAGAAAGGAAGGAGAGGGAGCACTTTATAAAATTCATTTCAATAAAATTTCACCTCTGTTATGAATGAACTGACAGAAATAAAGGGCCAGCCCCATATACAGGCAGGTTTAAAAAAAGAAGTGTAAATCTGACTTACTTCCAAATATCTAAGTATCTTCCTGCCAAATGCAAAGCAGGAACTCCACAGAATGGGAGAAAACACAAGCACAAGCTGTTTTACAACACAGGCAGGCATGGCTGTGGGTCATGTGCAGCAGGACTAGAAAAAGAAAACACCCTGATTCAGGGTGCAGCCAGCAGATCAGAAAATATCGGGCAAATAGCAAAGTATCAGGAACTCAAGAAAGCAACTCTACTTTCTAAGTTGTATGCAAACTCCTAGATTCATTCTAAACAGCCAAGGTAGCATATCAAAGGCTGTAAAATAAACCAAGAATCTAAAACCACCACCCAAGTCTCAAACTAGCCTCTAATATACACTCAGGATAGCCGGAAAATGAGATGACTTTGAAAACAAAACTGATGTTAAACTACAATGCAACCAGACTGTGAACCTAGTTTAAGCAAGCAAGAAAAAACCATACTCTCCATAGGATCAAAACAAAACCAAGAATCTCATTATACAATGTTTCAGGGCATAAAACATAATCCAAGATCACTTAGCATATAAACAAAGGGCAAACTCATTCAGATACCAATGCCAAAATGACACAGAATCAGCTGGCAAAGATTTTATTAATAGAGCTAGCATGAAAATTCTCCAAAAGCGAAGTTCATGTGAATTCTTGATGTGAATAGAAGAAAAAGTTTCATCAAAGAAAGAAGAATATATAAAGTGAGAAAAACTGGAAATTTTAGAACTGAAAAAACTCAATAAACAAACATTTTAAATGCACTCAAAGGGCTAACTATTAGCATTTGTGAGCTGGGTATGGTAGCACACACCTGTAATCCCAGCACTTGGGAGGCTGAGGTGAGAGGATCACTGTGAGTTCAAGAATAGTTTGTGCTACACAGTGTCGAGGCCAGCCTGAACTTTGGGATCAAGGTCTTGGCCTAGTACTGCCCTTCTGAACACTTCTACCACTGGCCAGCCTCCAAATTCCTGTACACAGAACTCTGGGAAGAGATTAGCTTGGCGAGTTTATTGTAAGATGTCTAAAGTTACTGTGTTCTTTAAAAAAAAAAAAAAAAAAAGTCTGAACTATGTAGTGAGATCCTGTCTCAAAAAGACCAAAAGTAGGAGATAGAGCTCAGCAGCACAAGTACCTGCCTGGCAAGCACAGGTCCTGAGTGTTTCAGGGCCAATACAAAAAAAAAAAAAAAAGACCAAAAGTAAACAAATACAAGTATTGGAAATGGCAGAGTGAACTTCAGACAAATCAACAGAAATTATCCTAACTGTACAATGAAGAGAAAAACATTGGTAGAAAACCATCCATTGATGAGAGAAAAAAAATCAGCATCCTATAGGGACAATTATAAAAAAGAGCTAACATTCAAATCAGGGAAGTGCCAAAGGAAGAGTGCCAGGCAGAGAGACTTGAAGAAACAATGGATGAATGGTAAAAAACAGGAGCCCTCAGTTGTGGGGCTCAGTTTAAAACAATTGAAAATACACAAAGTACACAAGAGCATTTAACTAGAAATCAATAAAAAGAAGACAATCTCCAAACTTCTGGATAGTAATTCACAAACTTCTAAATCATCCATAGGTCTAAAGAGAAAGTCATAAGGTAATGACAAATACACTCTTGGAAACTACTAAATACCTAGAAAAGCTACAAAAATGATAGACAATGTAGATGAAGACCACATCAGCACTGAAAGCAGGGATATCATTATAGATGTTATAGATTCTGAGAATAAAGAATGCAATAGTATTATAGATAGCTAAATTAGGTACAAATATAGTAGACAGGGCTGGGCCCTCGTGAGACAGTGCAAAAGACAAGAATCCATGAGGACTGTGGCTGGAGGCGCATTTGAAGATTAAAGTCATGCCAGGCACAGTGACGCACACCTGTAATCCCAGTTCCCGGGAGGCTGGGGCAGTAGGATCGCTGGAGACCAGCCTGGGCTACAAAATGAGCTCAAGGCTGGCCTGAACTACAGAGTGAGACCCTGCCTCAAAAAAAGATTAAAGTCACAACGGCTAGTTTGACATACTTCCCTAAGGGATGAATAAAGGCTTGGGATTATTGGTATCACCCTTTTGAGATTTCCCATTATTTCATTAGTGGTAGCCATCCTCTCCCACCTAAGACCAGGACTAAGATTAAGACTGCCAAGATTAAAGACAAGGCCAAAACTATAGATTATCAACCAAGGTTAATGATGTTACCCATGTACCCTTGGTACCACTGGATCAATATTACCTAAGCGACCATACTTGCAGTCTTATTGGTTGATTATACTTTTGACCCACATTGTATTCACCTCATGATTTTGCTCTATAAACCATCCTTTGAGAGGTGGGCTTGTTGGCAACCCGTTCGGAATCCCTCCTGTCTCCCAGGAGCTATTCCTATTCCCCATTCCTATTCTACAATAAATTTTCCTACTCTTAACTTCCATTGTTTCTTAGAATTCATTCTTTGACTTTGGGGAACACGAACTTGGCGTACTTGACATCTAGCATTTCCCCTGGATCAATAGTAGTATGACTCTATGTAAACAAATCTGACAATTTATACATGATGGAAAAATTCCTCAAAACCCACAAGCTCTCAACATACACCTTAGACTAAGTAGGTAGCCTATATGAAACTATGACTACTAATGAAGATGAATTTATAGTTTGAAATCTTTCTTAAATCTAAGACTTAGGCTGGGCATTGGAGCACACAGGAGGCTGTGCCACCCAAGCACTCTGGAGGCTGAGGCAGGAGAACTGCTGTGAGCTTGGGGCCAGCCTAGGTTACAAAGTGAGTTCAGGGCCAGGCTGAACTGCATAGTGAAACCCTGTCTCAAAAAGATAAAAAAATAAATAAAATAAAATAAAAAGAAGACCTAAATGGCAGAGGTTTTACTAATCCTTTAAAAAACTTAAAGGAATAATATCACTGCTTTAAATCTCTTGAAGAGAAATAAAATTAATTATACTCAAAAGCTATGTGCTTGCTTCAGCAGCACATATACAAAAAATAAATCAACTATTGTTCTGGTATCAAAGCAAAAATAGCTAATAATCAAAATCTTTCGGGGCTGGGAATGTAGCTCAGCGGCACAGCACCTGCCTGGCAAGCGCAAGGCCCTGAGTAAAATGCCAAAGAAAAAAAAAAAAAAAAAAAAAAAAAAAACAAAAAAAAAAAAAAAAAAAAGCCCCTTTAAAAAAAATCTTTCATGATCAAAGATAAAATGTTTAACAAAATACTGAGAATCAAATTTAACAATACATAAAAAGGAAACTATACCATGAACAAGTAGGGAGGATCACAGGGATGCAAAGCTGACTCAATAATCAAAATACAAAGTAATTCTCCACATCAAATAATTTAAAAGCTTATATAATCATCTCAACATCGTTGTGGCAAAACTCAATACTCATTTATGCTTATAAAAAACTTTAGCAAGGTAGAAATAAGAGAACTTGCTGAACATGATGAAGCCCACCTAAAAAATACTGCTACTAACCTCATTAATAGGAAAATGTTTTACCTCTGTAAAAAAAAAAAAAAAAAAAAGAGGGCAAATTAACAAAGTAAGGAATATGACTATCTCCATTCAGATGATGTAATTTTCCATATAGAATACCCCACAGTATCTACAATAAAACTACCAGAACTAATACATAATTTTTAAAAACTCATAAGATACTAAACAGTGTATATAAATCAGTAATTTTTAGGAGGCAGGCATGGTGGTGCACGCCTGTAATCCCAGCACTCAGGAGGCTGAGGCAAGAGGACTGCCACAAGTTTCAGGCCACTTTAGGCTACACAGTAAGTTCAAGGCCAGCCTGAACTACATAGCAAGATCTTGACTCAAAAAACTAAAATAATAATAATTGTTATTCTTTTAATGGCAAAGAACTAGAATTTTTTTTTAAATAACATTTATAAACCAAAATTCAAACAAACAGAACAGAAAAGTCAAGAAAAAAATCAAAATCCATATTTAAAAAAGAAATACTCAGGGGAAAATGTAAAAAAAATGTAGTTAAAAGTCTGTATATTAAAAAAGATACATATGTATGTGAAAGAAATCAGAAAGAAGGAAATGGAGAGATATCTCCTGCTTGTGAACAGACTCAATACTGATGAACTGAAAGATTCAATATTGTTACAGTATCAATCTCTTCCAAATTCAACTACAGATTCACAGTCTTGTTAATCAAAATCCCAGCAGAATATTTTTGGAAAAACAGAAAAGTTGCTTCTAACATTTACATGGAAAGGCCAAAGAACTAAAATAATGAAACCATTTTAAATACAAAATTGAAAGTCATACAGTAAGTTCACATTTTAAGACTAATTATATAAAGTCCTAGTAATTCAGACAATATGGTACTACCATAAGGGTAAACACAGATCAAAGAGACAGAAATAAACACAGATCAAAGAGACATCCAAAATCAGCCCAGCACATTTATAGTTAGAGACTTAAAAAAAAAACAACTGTAAAGGCAATTGAATAGAGAAAATACAGTCTTTTCAACAAACAGTGCTAGAAAAGTTCATACCAATGCAATAGAATGAACTTTACCCATCACTCATGGGTATACAGAAACTCTCAAAACTGATAGCAACCTAGATTCTAAACTAAAACTATAAATGTCTTGAAATTAACACAGATAATCCTTGTGCCCTTGGGTGGCTGAGTCAAGATTTCTCTGATGAGGGCCAGAGATATAGCTCAGCGGCATAGCACCTCGTTTGGCAAGCGCAAGGTCCTGAGTTAGATTCCCGGTACCAAACAAACAAATGATTTCTCTGATGTGCCAAAATATGTGATCATTAAACATATATAAATTATATATTATATAATTTATAATTTAATAATATAGCTTATAATATATATTTAATATTATAAATTATATGTAATATATCCTATTCTATATATTCTATTTATATTATATATATAAATTATATATATTAAAGTCCATATATATATTTGACTTTAAGAGCAGAACTCCTGCTCTTTAACAAAAGGAATTAATAGAAAATTGGAAACAGAAGTCATGGACTGGTAGAAAATATTTGTCAGTCAAGTAGCTACAGAGCATAGTGCCTAACTCATAAAAAGCATCTATGAAATTAATTTTAAAACAATAGCAACAACAAAAATAATGATATTGTGAAGGTCCAGGGTTTTTAACTGACTTCATTCACTTATATAACTAACTCCACTGGCTCACAAAAGTAAGAGCTGCCACCAAAATTAACCACGCCATTAAAAAATAGTTTCCAGGGAAAGTCTGGCCAGCTTCCCTCTTCATTACAGTCCACAAGTTAAAACTGGTTTTCACATTAAGTGGCTGCATTTGAAAGATTTTATAAATATCTACACAATAGCTTCAGTCTTAACTTGCCTCAGCAGACTAAAATGTTTACTATATGATCCTTTAAGGCAAAGTTGTCCAACCCAGGCTCTAGGCCATAAAGGAAATATCAACACATTCCTTTATGATATAAAGGAATTTATATCATATCAATACTGTTCACTGCTATCAAAGTACTAAGATTAGCCATCAGTTAAAAAGAAATGCCATGCCAGGTATGGTACCACACATATGTAATCCCACCTACTTGGGAGGCTGAAACCAGAGGATTTAAATTTGAAGGCAGTCTGGGCAACTTAGTGAGATCCTATCTCCAAATTTAGAAGTAAAATAATGCCAAAGGGATGGGGATGTAGCTCAGTGGTAGAGTGCTTACCTGGCACGTACAAGGTCCTAGGTTTAATCCCTAGTACCACCAAAAATAAAAGGCCTAATCATCAATCTACTATTTTGAAAACTACAAGAAAACACTATACAACACAAATATGTAAGATTGCCCCCAACAACTAAGAATTATTAATGTTTAACTTATTGCTATGCTGTGAATAAATGTTGCCTTATTTCTTTAAATAAAAGCCTAGCAATCTAGATTTAGGAGATCAAAGGGAAAAAGGCTTTTATTTATATCAAAGCCCAAGAGCTTTAAAGATTCTTGAATATAATCTCCAACTGAATTAATAAAGTCACCCTTACTCAAATAAACTGGACACAAACCAACGGTACTACTGTTCTATTAAACCTTGACTAAGATGAAAGTGTCCAGGCCAAAATAAGGACACATTTTTAGAAATGTTTCTTTTAGTATCAGATGGGGGAATATCCTAAAAAACAGGAAATAATCTCTATTAAAGAGTACTGAAGAAATAACTTCATGCATATAATTTTCATTCTTTACATTATTTATGCTAAGGTACTAATGTTAGGCAGAAAGTCAGACATTAACTTGACACAGTCTTTAGACAGGCAGCTGAGGGCTACTTCCCTCTCTCCTTCACTCTCTTAATCATTAGCTATAGATAAAATCCACACAAGCTTGTTATTTCTAACTTTAGCTCAAAACAGTGTAACCTTCTCTGAGCATACTGATATGGTCCAGGCCTCACACTAGGTCCTGTGAGACCATGATTGAGAGTTAGAAAAAACACTAAAGTCTCAAAACAAACTAAAAGGAAAACATTCACTTAGGGACTAAATAGGGACCTAGTAAATCATTACCACCCATTTTCCATATCAAAGAGTAATAACCTGAGAAGAAAGAAAGGACATTCCTGAAAGATTTGGTGAATAATCCAAGTGTTGCCCTGACTCTTGTGTGCTTATTCCCTTTTAGGCCTCCAATCCCACACCCCTTCTCATTTTACAATAAACTCTATCCATACCCTGTAAGACAGCTTCATGTCTTGTCTGAAATTTTTCATCAAAGACAAAGAATCAAGAATCAAAATGTGTTGTTGGTGCCTCAAAGTATTAGAAACAGGTTTCTCAGTGACCCTACTGTTTACTCACCAGCACTGGGCACTATTCTGAATGTTTTGTGTAAACATATTTAGTAAGTGCCATTTTTGAAGCAAAAAACGTTACAAAAAACACACCAACCCAACAAAACACAAACCAATTCATACTTGGACTGTCAAGTACTGTACTGTGGGTTGCTTTCCTGAATGTCAGCAGTTTCCATGGTTTCCAGTTAGGATTTGGAATGCTAGTAAGTTCATTAGCATTCTATTACAGATGGATAAACCATCTTCTCATATAAGGGCATTAGAAAACTACTGTTGGCAACCATCTAACACTTTTCTTTTTTGAGAAGATACAAAGGTAAATTCTTGTTCTAATATAACTCTTTCACACATTAAGTTGTCACAAACCAGACACCAAATTCCATCTTACCCAGGTAGTTCTTTTGTAAGTTTTCAAAAACTGAGACCTTCCTATGAGTTCCAGAGCAGCAGCGATGGACATGGGTATTTGAAATGATTACCAGAAATGTGACAGTGCTGACCAGGCCCTGCTGACAGTGTCACTGGTGATGTCACTAAGCTGCCTTGTGTCTCAGATCTGCTACAACACAATCACAAGAGGAAGCCTGGGAAAGGCAGCAGCCGGGAGGGCAGGGAGATTTTCTTCCTTTTTCTTCTCAAAAGGTTTTGTTTTAATTCAAAGCTATACTGATGAAATCCTGTCAAATGGCACATATTCCAGAATGTGAACTAAGAACAACTTAGTTTTTATGATTTACCTATGGGGTAATCTGTACATCTCTGAGTAATGTGGATATCCCTTCCTCTGAGTTTTTTCCACTTAAAAAATCTTACTTTTAATTTCTAACTTTTCCACATTATTTAAGAAAAAACTACTCCAGTCTTCAAGCTAATTTACTGTAGTATAAGAAACTTAGAATTGGTTCCATAGCTAGCAAATTTTCCTGAACATTTATTAAAATCTTTCAGCATCCCATTGTTTTTATTTTTTTTATTTTTATCTTTTTTCCCATTGTTTTTAAATTCTTGTTTAATACTTCAGCACACACTTCTGGGTTTCCTGTTCTCGCCCACTGGTATAGGTACCTATTTATGTCAGTACTTTATCCTACTCTAAAACATAATTTTCCCCCTTCTTTTGTCTTTTTCAACATACACAAAACTCACCCATTGGTGCTTCCATTTTAGAGTCATTTTGATGAATCCCAAAAATGAAACTGCTATGATTCTGGCTGAAACTTTTAGATCTGTAAATAGTTGTAGTATGAGAAAGTACTACAGATTTACACCATATACCTCAGACCTTTATGTTATACAATCTTTGTATAACATAATTTCTTACTACTGTAACACATCACTCATAACTAATATTTTTATGTCCCCCTAGATTATAAATTCTTTATTAATTTATTGGTATTAAGTATACTAATCAATAAATTAAATAATATTATAATATTTAGCATTCCTTTAGAAAAATCAACTTTTTCTACATAGTTTTTATAGGTTTCTTTCTGAAATATCACAAACATTACTCAGATTTGTTGGTGATTTGATGTTTTATTGATGTAGTGATATTTTCATTATTTATACTATTTTTAAAACTATTTATACTTTAAATACCATCTTTGAAACTTACTAGCCTTGACATCTTAATTGTACTTTTGTTTCTATAGTAGCACAAAATTTTGGGGGGTGATAAACAATAAGAAATATATTTTATGCCACAACAAAGTACACATGCACACATGTAAATATGCAGGGATGTATACATTCCCCAATGTGAGTATACATTGGTATACTCAAGTTCTGTGAAATAGTATTTATCCTTATTGCATGTGATGTCCTCCAATGGTTTTATACTGTTCTTCATTACCAAATTTACAGTCATAATGAACAAAACTAATCTCAGGATTCACAAATCAGTTTTAACATAAAGTTTTAATATACAAGATATAAGACAAAAATTATGTTCTCTTTCTTTTTATCTTCATTACTGCCACAATCCTTAGTACTCAACAAATAATAAAAGTACACTAAATGACAGAGAAACAATCACTAAATAAAAACTAAAGTAAATGGGATTTGCTTTTGAGACAGTGTCTTACTTTTTTCTTGTTGCTGAGACAAAATACCCAACACCAAAAGTTAAAGGGGGAAAAGTTTATTTAACCCAGAGTTTGTAGAGGTTTCAGTCCATAATTGGCTGGCTCCAAGGCAGGGCTGCAAGGCAGAGGGCCACTTCAGAAGAGGAACAGTTTATGGTGGCCAGAAGATAGCAAAGCAAAAGCAAGGGACAAACACAGCTTTTCTATCCCTGATATCTTATCCAAGCTACTTAGGGCACACAGCATTCACACCCTTAATCTGGTGCCCTTGATCCTAGCATTACACCACAAATCAATTCCAGCAGCACATACTCTAGATCCAGCCACCTCTGAAAAAGCCCCACCATTGACTGCATGGGGCTTTGGGTGTACATCTAGACACAAATCTTAACAGATAGCTGGCAAAATTTGTGAGCAATACCAGCAATTAAAAACTTTGACTTTCTTTGTACAACCTGTCTTGGTTACCTTCTCATTGCTGAGATGAAACACCCAACACCCAAAGTTAAAGGAGGGAGATTTCACTGCCCATCATTAGCTGGCTCCAAGGCAGGGTAGCATGGCAAAAGGGCATCACAGAGGAGAAATAGTCCATAGAAGGCAGAAGGCAGCAAAGTGGTGAAGTAGCAAAGAGTCAGCAGCCTTCTTTGTGTCCCTTATATCCCCCAGGCTGGGACACCATTAATCCCAGCATCGCACCCCTAGGTCCAGCCACTTCTGAAAAGCCCCATCTATGACCATATGAGACTTTGAGGGGACATCTAGATACAATGAATAACACTACCCAAAGCAATCTACAGGTGCACATAATCTCTATCAAAATACCAATGACAGTCTTCATAGAATTTAAAAAAAAAAAATCAATCTTAAAATGTGTATGAGCCAGGGATACAGCTCAGCATCAAAGCACCTGTCTGGCAAGCAATGGGCTGTGAATTCAATTCCCAGTATTGAAAATAAAAAGAAATTGTATGGAACCACAAAAAAACACTGAGTAGCCAAAGTGGCATTAAGCAGAAAGAACCAAGCAAAAACATTACACTATATAGTACTAAAATATATAAAAAAGCTATAGTCACCAAAACAGCATGGTACTGGCATAAAAATAGACACACAGACCAATGATACAAAATAGAACTTAGACATCAACATGCATCTTTATAGCTAACTGACTTTAAACACAAATGTTCAGAACATGCATTATAAACAGGTTTTTCAATAAACCATAATGGGAAAACTAGATATTTATATGCAAGAGAATGAAACTAGTCCCCTCTCACTAGTTATAAAAAATCAACTCTACATTAATTAAAGACTTAACTGCAAGACCTTAAACTATGAAAACCACCAAAGAAAACATAGGGAACATGCTTCTGCACATCAGAATAGGCAAGAAATTTTTAGAGAAGACCCCAAAATCACAGGACACAAAAGCAAAAATAGACACATGGGGTTACAACAAGCTAAATTCTTCTGTATAACAAACAACAAAGTGAACAACCTACAAAATAAGAGAAAATATTTGCAAATTATAAATATGACAAGAGGTTAATATCCAGAATACATATAAAAGGAACTACAAACTCAACAGTGAAATAACAAATAACCTCACTTAAAAATGGACAACAGACCTTAGGAGACAATTCTCAAAACATAAATGGCCAACAGGCATACGAAAGAATGCTCAGCATCACTGATCATCAAAGAACTGCAAATAAACCCATAGAGAGATAACACTTGACTCCATTCAAATGGCTATAATAAAAAAGATAAATGATAACATGTGCTGGCAAGGATATGGAGAAAAGGGAATCCTGAGCACACTGCTTAATTAGTAAGGCCATTATGGACAACAGTAAAGAGGTTCTGCAAAAATTACAAATAAGAAGTGCCACATGATCCAAAGGAAATGAGACAAACATGTCAAAGAGATACGTATGTTGAAGAGACATCTGCACTCCCATATTTATTACAGTACTATTCACAATAGCCAAGAAATAGAAAAAATCAAAGTGTTCATCAAAATGAATAGACAAGAGAAAATGTGGTACATATTCAGAATGGAATATTATTCAGCCACAAAAAAGAAATCATAGTAGGGATGGTGGTGCACATGTGGGAGAGAATAGGGCATGAGGAGAGGCTGACCAGTGCACACTAAGGTATGGATAGGTTGGATAGGTGAGCTTTTGCACACATTAGGGTCACTATAGATAATGACAAAGTACTGTATATTTCAAAAAGCTAGAAGAAAGGATTTTGAATGTGTTCACCTTAAAGAATTAAAAATGTGGAAATAGCTACGTTTAACTTGATTTAGAGATTATATAGTGCATATACATATCAAAACACCACCTGGCACTCCACAAAGATGCGTAATTTTAATGCTTCTATGTATCTGTTCAAATGAATTTAAATTGAGAGGGAAAAAGAAAAATAATAAAAACAAAGTTGCAGCCAAATGACTCTGAAAATAACGACATCACTGTAAGATCAAAGGCATTCAGGAAAGTCTGTGACAGACAGAGATCAAGCCAGCTCAGGGATCTTTACCCCGGCATTACCTCTGTGTAATCCCCTTGCCTCCAATGTGTGCTACCTCTCACCAACACAGTGGAGCAGCATTTCTGTGCCTACGCTGCAACAGTTTACAACTGCTACCCTGCCAGCCCAAGCTCTCCCTGGCTTGATCCAACAAAGCAGTTCCACATTGGGAGCTGCAGCTTAGAGAGATCCACACAGTAGGTAAGTGTGGAGCTCAGTTGAAACACCAGACAACCATGAGGCCCTCTGCAGAACAACCTCAAGTACCTGAACGGGGCCCACAGCCATGTGAGCTTAGAAGCAAACGCCTCTCCAATAGAACCTGCACACAGACCTCAGCCCTGGCCAATGACAGCACTACAGGCTCTATGAGATACACAAGAAAGGAGTCCAGGAAAGTGGTACCCAAATTTCTGACCCAGAGAAATGCTGACATAATAAATATGTGTTGTATGGAGCATGCCTATATAATCACTAACTTCCATGCTGCTATTGCTGTTCCTATTATTACTACTACTGTTAATATAAGACTGGAGCTGACATACAGTGGACCCTCGACTTACAAACTCAATTCATTTGCAAGGGCTGGTTGTAAGTCAAGACTATGTTTCCCATAAGAAATAATGGCAGTACCCATCATATGTTCCTAACCTCCCAAAGCACCCCTTAACTAACCTGTTCATAATAAAAAAGGGTTGTATAATATGTGTCATTTATCAGAAACACTAATAATTTTCCTAATATAGTCACCAAAAAGTTATGAACTGTGCCTCGTTTATCACAAACAACAATTTCATACTGTACTCACCATTCAGGTTGACATTTTGGGTTGCAGGAAGGGAGGATGAGATGGAGGTGGTGGTTGTTTGGAAGGAGAGTCCCCTTCCATAAGAACATCAGTGTTCTGGCTCTCTGGGGTCCTTTCTCTCCTTGGGAAAGCGTGTAGCCCACTAGGACCTGCTTCTGGCTCAGTAAGTCTCAATCTTTTCAGAACTAAAAACTGGTCTAAGATTGTCTGTTTCTGTCTTTTCTTTAACACTGTTCTTTCCAATTATGATTGCTTTCTTTACCTTCCCTTCCTTAGCTTCTTTTCTAGCTTTCCTAGGGCCATTAATTGATATATATATATATATTGCTTAGCATGTTATCTGACTTAATTCATGCAGTCTTCAAAACAACCCTGAGACAGGTGCTTATTATAAACTGTATTCTCTACCAGGAGTAAATGGAGTCATAATTTAAGTATTTGTCCAATATCACAGAAACAAGTAGGAAAACTGCTCTGAACCCAAATCTCTGCCTTGTATTGTCTCTTCTGGTTTCTCAAAATTATTTATTCCTATTAATTTTCATCATTTATATCTAAAGACTCAGCATCATTTCAATTATCCCACAACTGAAAATAACTCAAATTTTTATCAACAGGTAAATGGATAAAAGTAAAATTGTGATACATAAGTGTAACACGGAATGGTACCCATGAATTAAAAAGAATGAACTGTTGATACAAAACACAGATGAATGCCCAAGCCATTATGGTGAGTAAAAGAACCCAGAAAAAGTACACATTAGATGGTCCCATTTAAGTGCAACTGTAGGAAAGATAAAGCTTTATTAACAGAAAAGCAGTGGAAACCAGGGCTAGAACTGAGTGCAAAAGGAAATGGGAGAATGCTAGTAGGTACAGAAATATTCTGTCTTGATTATGGTGGTGATTATACAACAGCACAGAATTAAACTAAATGGTATACTTAAAATACTTGTTATTATCTGAATGTAAATCTATTGCAATAGTTAAGAAAAAAGTTAATTTCACCCCTTCACCTTCCTTACTGTTTTAGTTATTTTCTCATTGCTGAGATAAAATGCCTGACACCCGAAGTTAAAGGAGGAGAGGTTTATTTCAGCTCATAATTTACACAGCTTCTGTTCATAGCTCGCTCCAAGGCATGACAGAGGAGAAACAGCCCAGCATATGGCTAGCATGGTGTCTAGGAGACAGCAAGCAACAAGAGCAGCAGCAGCAGCAGCTGCCAACCTTTCCCTTTTATCCCATCCAGGCTACCAGCTTTTTTGGGTGGTGCGACCCAGAATTATGCTAATCTGATCAGTGAATTAATTTAGTACCAAACCTCCTTAATCCCAGTATCATGCACCCTAGATCTAGGCTTTGGGGGGACATCTAGATGCAAGCTGTAACACTTACCCTTACTGAACAAGCCATGAAGTGACATGTAGCTACGCAGGTCTCCATTCAAGTAAGGACAGCTCAGCAGGGGGTTTCAGAGTTAAGCAAGTAGAACAGCACTGTTCATGCAGGTGGATAGCTGACCATTTCCCGTTTGAAAAAAAGGGCTGGGGATATTCCATTACCAGAGTCAAGTGCAAAAGGAAAAACTGTGCATGAGTAAGGGTAGCCTGGAATGGGCTTTCTGAGTCCAAGTAAAGTGAAGTGGGTACTCAGACGTGTGTGGCCTCATGAGAGCTGCCAGAGCTCAAGCAGGAGAAGGAAGAAAAGCCAAGCTGGAGTCAGACCTGAGGAGAGTAAGGAGGTTGTGTCCACATGGAGAAGGGAACCAGTGTAAGTGTCAGAGCCAAAGTTGCTGACAGGGAAGCAGAGTCTGAGTACTATGAGGTAGGTGTATGGAGGACAAGCAGCCATGCAATGGGGATTCAGAATCTTAATGGGGGACTTCACAATAGCATCCAAAAAATTTAAATACTAAGGAATCAATCGAATAAAGGAAGTAAAAGATCTGTACATTGAAAATAATACTCTGAGAAAAGAGATAGAAGATGATTTCAGAAAATGGAAAGATATCCCTTGCTCATGGATAGGAAGAACCAACATTGTGAAAATGGCCATACTCCCAAAACTTATACAGATTTAATACAATCCCAATCAAAATACTATTAGCAAACATCACAGATCTAGAGAAAACATTCCTAAAATTCATTTGGAACCAGAAAAGATCGAGAATACCAAAAGCAATCTTGGCCAACAAAGGCAAGTCAGGAAGCATCACAATCCCTGACGTGAAATTATACTACAAAGCTATGGTGATAAAATCTACATGGTACTGGCAAATAAACAGACCTGAGGGATCAATGGAACAGATTAGAAGATACAGACACAGCTACAAACACATTCAGCCACCTTATCTTTGACAAACGAACCAAACATGTTCATTGGAAGAAAGAGTGCCTCTTTAATAAATGGTGCTGGAAAAACTGGCTCTCCACATGTCAAAAACTAAAACTAGACCCATGTCTATTACCATGCAGTAAATTATAGTCAAAATGGATTGAAGATCTAAATATTAAAACAGAAACACTAAATCAACTGTAAAAGAAAGTAGGTAGAAATCTTGAAGGCACAGGGTTAGGCAGAGAGTTCATGAACAAAAATCAAACTACATGGGAAATATTTCAAAGAATCAACAACTGGGATCTCAAAGTTGATGCGCATAAAAAGGAATCACCAACAGAATGAAAAGAAAACCCACAAACTGGGAAAAATTTTATCTAACTGTCCCTCAAAGGACTTCTATCTAGAACATATAAAGAATTAAAAGTAAATCAGGCCACCAAAATTCAAAGAGCCAATAAAATATTGGTATCTGAGATGAATACACACTTCTCAGATGAAGAAATACAAATGGCAAATATATGAAAAAATGTTCAACAGCATTGATCATCCAAGAAATGCAAATTAAAACAACACTGAGATTCCATCTCACCCCAGACAGAATGGCTACCATAAAAATATCTACCAATAACAGATGCTGAAGAAGCTACAGAGAAAAAGGAACCCTGCTCTATTGTTGGTGGGAGTGTAGACTGGCACAACCATTGTGGAAATCAGTGTGAAGATTCCTTAAAAAACTGGGATTACAGGTCTCATTCAAACCAGGTACTGCCCTTCTGGGTATCCTCCCTGAAGAATTAAAAACATCACACCATAGCAATATATGTGCATCCATATTTACAGCAGCACAATTTGTAAGAGCTAAATCTTGGAAACAACCCAGATGCCCATCAACGAAAGAATGGATAAAAAAGATGTTTTTTTTATATAATGGAGTACTACTCAGCCATAAAGAAGGATAAAATGGTGTTATTTTATAGGTAAATGGATGCAACTTGAGACCATACTCATAAGTGAAAAAGGTCAGACCTTCTATGTGTAAACATCGTATTGTCTCCCTAGTATAAGAAACTGAAAGAGTAAATAAAATCTGAAAAGTACAATAGATATTGTGAAAGGAAAAGAAATTTCTCAAAAGGAAAGAACAACTGGGATGAGGGGAAAAAAAGATATGTATATATACACAAGATAGCTAAGATAATTGTACTACTAATTTCTATTAGTTCACTGAAAAGAACCATTAGTGTTTACACTGTTTGATCCAGTAATCTGAGCACTTTGAAAATAACAATATACAATATACAATATAATAACTACTGTGAATTTTCTATCATTTTGTTTTGAAATTCTGTATCTTTTTATTGGTTTTTCATCTCTTTAAAATAAAATTTAAAAAAAAAAAGAATCTTAATGGATGAGAAGGGGACAATCAGATATTCATGGCCCAGCATGAACTACCCATGTCCACATGCGCTAAGGGTAAGCATGCAGGAAATGAGGAAACTGGTGCAGGAAATGGGTGAGAACAAGAGGACTGATCACAGACTGAACACGTTAATCAGAGCAGAAATCCATTTTCTTACTCTTAGAGAAGAGAACTGTATATGGTAAAGCACATGTGTATACACACTCAAATATAACAACACATACCTTGGGAGGGAGCAAGAGCATCTAACAGCACCAAGCACACCTAGTCCCCACATCTTGGCTTATAAATACTGTATCACTCTGCACGGAAAGGAACCCAGAACTTCTTGAGAAAATGCATGTTTCCACGTTGGAACAAACAAAATAATGAATAAGCCTGGATGTCCTGCACTGCCAAATACCACAGCACTGCTCAAAAAGAGAAAAACAAAAAAAACACAAAAACAAAAAACCCAGCACAGGTCATAAGGAAATAAAAGCCAATCTGAAAAGAGTGTTCAACAGCCAAATCTTGGACAACCTAACCATCACACTGAACCACATTAATATATTATAAATGACTGAATAAAATAAGAAATCACAAGTCCACATTAATATAAATAAATAACTACATAAATTGTTAACTTACATTGTTTTAAAATTCTTCCCTGTGAAATACTAATTATAAAGGGGTAAAAAGCAAATTAAGAGCCAAGACAGCTAACAGACAACATCTGTGATCAAAATTAATGTCACTATCGGGACAAACCAAAGCCACTGCCACCTGATGGGATATAACTGGAATAATGCAGCACTGGTACTATGACACTTCTGTCGAAGTTGCATAACCTGAGTCCAATCATGTGGCCATAGTGGACAAACTCACACTGGAAGCATTCTGCAGAAAAACTGGCCTAAAATATTAAACTGCTGAGGTGCTCAAACTGAAGACTGGGGAACTACTGCAGACAGGAAAACAAAGACATGACAACTAAATGCACATGACCCCAAAAGATCTTTTTGCTATAAGAATATTACTGAGACAAACAACAAAACCTGAATAGTCTCTGAGGACTATACAGTAGTATCAATACTAGCTGCCTGCTTTTGATGGCTATTGTAGCTACAGCAGGGATTATCTATGTTTGTAGGAAATACATCTAAGTATTTGGGGATAACACAGGCAACTTATAATCATGACCTTCAAGAGAAAGAGCTATTGAAACTTGAAAAAAGAACCTGAAATGTTTTTGTAAATGCTTCAAAAATGTAATAATAAAAAATAAAGGTTTGGGGCTGGGGATCTAGCTCAGCAGCACAGCACCTGCCTGGCAAGTGCAAAGTTGTGAGTTCAATTCCCGGTACTGGAAAAAAACAAAAAATAAAAAAATAAAAAATAATAATAAATTAAGGTTAGAGCTATAGCTCAGTGGTAGAGTGCTTGCCAGCACGTGGAAAGCTCTGGGTTCAATCCCCAGTACAATAAACAAACACAATTTTTCTTCATCTTATAAGGAGCATCCACAAAAATGATATAGGAGACATTATACTTAATGAACACTGAAAGCATTTATGTTACATTCAGGGGCAAGACAGAAGAATGTAACACTTTGCTCAAGCTCCTAGCCAAATGATAAAACAAGAAACAATACAAACACTGAAGAGGAAAAACATGGTGTCATTACTGCAGATGATATGCTTATTTATATTTAAAAACACCAAATTCCTACAGATAAATTTTAAAAATAATCACATTGAGATTGCTGGACACAAACTTTATAATAAACTAATGTTTGGTGGCTGGAGCAAGAGGACTGCTGTAAGTTCAAGGCCAGCCTGGGCTACACAGTGAGTTCAAATACGGGCTGAACTATGTACCAAGACCTTGTCTCAAAAAACACAAATATTTAATTCATTTCTAAAAACCAACAACAATACACTAGAAAATAGTATCATTTACAGCAGCAACGAAGACTTCAGGTA